AACTTCCACTTTTTGCCTTTTTCGCCGAGATCGGCTCGCGTTACCTTTCTGTTGCGAGAACAACCTTGGCTGTTGGCGAAAAATAATCAAAAGTGCGGACTTTTGTTGTCGCCAGAGAGAGCGAAAGAAAGAAAGAGCTCTTTTCGCTCGTGAGTCTATTTCGAGAGGCGGCGAATCGAAATGCTTTTCATTCGGAAAGAATTCGAAAGGAAATAATGAGTCGGCCACGCGCACAATTGTTCATTACATGCACTTACGTACACACACACATTTGCCGAGCGAGTCATGAGCGAGAATTAGTCACGCCAAGTGCTCCGGTTTTGAATCCATCCCACTCTGCTCACCAATTATGATATAAATTCTAAACTTGCTTTTCATTCGCAGAGAAGGAAATTGTTGAATCTGTGTTTTCGTTACACACAGGAGGCTCTTTCTTTTCAGTGACCAACAGACAATGGAGTGGTCCTGGCCACACTTTTTTTTTTATCTCGCGATTCAGTGGGGACAAGAGAATGAGAGGAGCTTTTGTTGTACCAAGTCGCTTTTCCGAGAATGAGGCTAATGAGAAGTCGCAGATTTAATGAATGGGCTAGAGAGAGACAATTTTTAAGTCAAGTTAAGTCAGAACTTTCAGGGAAGACAAATTTAAATGCAGTTAATTTTATATAATATGATAAGAAAAAGTCATAGTGGTTTTGTTTAATCTTTTAACAAAAATAATTGATAAAAAAAATAGCTATGCGGTGTCTTATCTGTTCAATACATGCCAGTTTTCATAAAACTGATAAGCCAACAGCAATTTCCTCCGTTGATTTGACTGAATTATTGAAAAAAATTATTACCTGCAATGAAATTTTTGCCTTAGGAGTTTTCTTGCTCACCCAAAATTTAAAATTAAGCCATTTTAAAGGAGCAGACAATTTTATAAAATTATAACCTTAAATTGTTACAGTCAATTACATTTTTATGCTTCTCAGAACCGAAGCAACGTGAACATAAAAAGCTCAAACTGCTTTTCGACCCAAATTAAATGGTCATATTATTATTGCTTGCTTCCACTTGAAACTTGGTCGAGTGCATGCGAGGAGTGTGTTTTGTGTGTAAGTACTTGAGTTTGCGAGCATCCTTTATGATAATTGCCATCAAGACGGGAAATTGCACGGCCCACGCCCCGCGAGCAAATTGACATTTCGCACGCCACGCTCGGCGGCCGGCCGCGGAGCAAAATTTTCCGCTCAGAATAAGAAGAGTTGAAGCTGCCTTTGGCGTTTTTCATTAAAAATCAGTTCGAGTTTTGCAGAGAGCACTGCGGCGAAGACCTTCGCCGGGCTATTTGTTTTTCGAGCACGGCGCAGAGTTACTGCAGTGAGAGAGCAGCGGCAAAAAGCTTAACCCACCGTGCAAATCCGAGCTTTCAATTATATTGCGGTGCGCCTTTCGTCGGTGCTGGGCAAAAAAAAGACACCCCGGGGATGGCAGAGTAGTCGGGACCGAGGTGCAAACGGAAAAGGTACCTCCGCACCTCGACACTGAGTAACCATATACATATTTTTTTATGAACTCGGCCAGAAATTATTAAAGTGAAAAGAGGACATAAAATTGTTTGTATTCAATTGTAAGAATAATTAGATCATTTTAATTCGGTTTCCAAACATTGGTTTTCTCGCTCTGTTTCTAAATCCACGTTAAATTTCTTTTGAAAAATCTAAAGAAATACTTACTGAAACGTTTCAGTGTAAATTTTAAGTTTAAGCAGCTTTGATTTTATTTTTCAAACTTGATTTGCGTGACCTGAAGTCGTTTAATGAATTTTTCATCACTTCTATTATTTTACAATTAATTTAGATTACCGAATTATTTTAAGACAAATTTATTCACCCAATTGATTAAAATGTTCTTATATCTTTACAAAAATTCACTTTAAAAATTTTTTAACAGAAACTCCCGTTTAATAATTGTGTAGCTGCTTTATATTTTTATTAGATCATTTTCAAATTTATTTAAGGTACGTCGTGCGAAACATTCCTTCTTGCCAATGTCAAAATCTATTCCATTTCTGATGAAAGTACCGAAAATTTTGATAAACTCTAGAAAGTCGTACGTTATTTTTAAATAATACTAGCTCAAGTTTATTAAACCGGCAAAATTGCCGTAAAATCTTTCATGAAATGTGCGGTTGAATCGAAATCAACGGCCGCTTCCTGTGGAAATCGGACAAAAATGCAGCAGCCGACGCTGGAAAAAACACACAAACAATACACAATGGCGGGCGTCCGAGGAGGCATTAGGGATCCGTTGACTGCTTTTCTGCGGTTTGCGGCAACAGGCGTGACGCCCTCGGAGTTAATGCACTTTCCATCGGCACCGCACTCGCGGCCGGGCGTAACTTTTTTAATACAACAATAACTGCACTCGGGAAGCGCCGAAAAAGGCGATTCGTAGGCGGTCAGTGTTGTTGGAGTGAGTTTATTAAAAATTATTGCAAACGGAACTCGAGCAAGGCACGGATCCAGTTTCAACCTTTGGATCCACCGGTGCAGCAGAGCGTGAAGTCGGAACACCTGCTCCCCTCCGAAAGAGCGGAGCACGCTGTGAAATATACGATTTTTTGAGGCTGACGCCTTGTTTCGGCCAATCGATCCGCCAAAATTCTTTACTTCAAGTGGGCACTGGCAACTTGAGAACCCCGGCAAAGGCTCTTTTTTCACTTCTTGCGGTCGCAAAAAATTCGCAAATAAACGAATCGTGTGAAAATTCATATCATTTGAAGTTTGTCAAATCATTCAAGGTCGGCTGCAGTTGTCAAACATTTTCTTAATTATTATTTTGGTTGGATATTTTGTAAATTAGCTTCAATATAATACAAAATCCACAAAAAAAAAAACGAAAAAGTTTTTAAACTTTTGAAACTCCTGAAATGTAGCTGCAGATTAAGCCCATTAATTTAATCAAGAACTTGTCTTTTAATTATTTATTTTCCAATAATGTAAATTTCAATTTTATTTCACATTACAAAAATAAAGTGTGAACCTTGTTGATGTCTGCAAAACAAAAGTTATTGCAAAAGTAATTTTTTAAATTTGAATTAAAAGTATAAAAGATCATATTTTTGGATTATTTTGCTTCAAATACTAAAAAATTGCCACCATTATAATGTTTTCCTGCTTTATTTGCAATTAAGTAAAAAAATGGTTTCTACATTAAAATAAAATTTAAAAAGGAAGAAACTGAAACTAATTTTAGATTTTTTTTTTCAATGGGAATTTACAACTGTCTTAAGTCAATTATATATAATTTCACCTAAGAGATTTCTAAGAAAGAACAAAGACTTTTTGCAGAACTCGTGACTCTTGTTCATAATCAGCGTTGTTTTGACAAGCGAGATAAATCAGAGGCGCGAAATCGCGACCACGCACGTCTGCCGATATAATAAATCGCCTCGCACAACAGAATTTGCAGGTATATTACACGCATTGGAACATTTTTTCAAACGTATCGTATCCGCAGATGTGCAAAAACCGCCTCAGTTCCGGTTTGCCTACACGAAAATTCCCTGTGCTTCGCCCACCGCATTGAAACAATGCGATAAATATGGTTGCAAAAATTGCGACCGACGAAGTTAGAAGCAAATTAATTTAATTTGAATCGTCTCATCCGTGTCAAAGGAAATTGAAATAAATTATTGCTATTAATTTGAATAATCTGGCATGAATCATAGCGAAAGAAAGTAGGCGTGAGGCGTGGCTGAAGTGAAATTAATTGATCGAAATTGCAGTGCAAAATTTCATCAATTTCACTTCCAGCCTGATAGTTGAATTAATTAATTAATCGCAGAGAAATTTAAATATTAATTAAAAAATAAATGATCACATTAAAGAAGTAACACTTGTTTACAGCAAAACAGGTTGGAATAAAAACCGAGTAAAGAAAGACTTGAGTGATCGAACTTCACTGAATATTTTCGTACTTACTCAATGCAACGGACGGATTAGGCTAACAATCGAGATGCAATCCTTGGTTTTAAATCATATCACTGAACATGTGAGTGCGCGAGAGCCACGCACTCGTCCCTTCCTTCCTGCGCACCACTGACTGACTGACTGGCCGAAAGCTTTTGCTCCTAGGTGAGTCATCATCGGTACCCTGGCGGAGGAAGGGAGCAAGGTTGCCGCAGTTGTTTCGAGCCAGCAACCTGATATCAGGTCGACGCTTCTTTTTTTATCACAGCCTGCAGCGGCGGCATTCCATCATCGCCGAGCTTTGATTTTGTATGATTTGCTGCCTTGGTGTATTATTATGGCATAATTATTTAATAGCACAGCAGGTCCATTTAAACAAGTCCGCAGAACCTGCTTTTATTTGTTCACATCATTGCAATAAAATAATAAAAATTTATTTTAAGAGGCGAAGAACTTTAAAAAGAGTGAATTTCAATACTTTAATACACCAATTTTCTGTTTTAAAAATATATTATGCATAATTTGTTGTTTTAAATTTTGATTTTTTTATAAGTGGTAATAGTTTTTTTTTTTATAATTCAAAGAATCATGCAAGATAATTGTACCTATTTGACAATAAATTGGGTCTTTAATCCGCTAATCCAAAATTACCACCGATGTTGGACAGAATTTAAAAATAAAAAATTCACTCCGCAAAATCAATTCCAAATGAGGAACTTTTCTATGGACGTCATATTTATTTTACTTGATTTCGACTTGAAATAAGCCCAAAGCTTATGCCTGGCGCTAAAAATCTTTAGTTGATTTTCATTTTCAATTTTGCAAAAGGAAACTTTTTCACACTGTTGATCGGACAACAGAGATTCAAATTCTCTTTATCTTTATACATTTAATTTTTTTTTAAATGGCTATCATTTTATAAATTAATTTGTATTCAGTTTTGGCATAAAATTTATGCCTTTTACTTAGATTCATTAACGAAGACAATGTCATTTTCAGATAACTGCTGATTAAGGGCAAAACAACAAAAAAGGTACTTACGACCCAGGCTTCCCATCCATTGCGTTGACGGAGGACACCATATATGAGGCTAAATTATTTGGTCGACAGCTGCAACTGTGCGTTATATTTACAACTTATTAAGCACCATCTGGAACAAAGAGGAAAATTTTTAAATCATTGTTAAAAAAAAAATAAAAGCATAAAGTGGAAATAGTTTTGCAAAATCATATTTCTTTACAATTCCAGCCAAATAAATTTTATTTATTTTCAGATTTTAATATAGAGCAAATTAGTTCAATTTGAGTAATGTCTATTTCATTATGTAATAATTAAACCAAAAAAGGAGACACTTTAATTTGTAAGTGTTATTATGGCACATCTTTCTCCTCTTTTTGTTTAACAAAATTAGAAGACGTGATTTACTTTACACTTCAAATACTTCTTCAACAAACGTTATATGTAATGCCCTGTCGTCTGCTTAAATTAAATTGATTACATTAACGCGATTCATTGCTTATTTTCTCAAAAGCACGAACACTCCCACTTGTGGAAAATATGATAGGGTCGAGTGCACTATGCGTGAGATTTGCGAATAACGTCTGAAAACAAGTTTCTTAAATAAATATTGTTATCACTACGAATTGATTATTTTAATTACGATATTATGAACACAGTTTCTGTAGTTCAAACCCCATTTTGAGGCAAAACATTCAGAAAATAATTCAGACAAAGGTTATCAAAAGCCCAGAAAATGGCGAGACGAATCGGATTTGGACCGATGCGGAGCCGAAATGGGCCAAAATCGTCGGCATTGGCCCGGGAATTAAATCCTACCGAGTTGCAGATTCGGCCAGTCGTGGAAAAGCAAGCGTCGGGAGGCGAGAAATTCCCGGAAAAGCGGCGAAAACACGAAACTCACCCGAAATGATTTTGATGCCTCTCCTCCAATTACGATGCTCGTTTGTTTTTTATTGCAGCAGCTGCTGAGAACACGACGGGGGACTCTTGAGATTCGGCGATCGATCTGCACTTTTGCTCCTTTTTCGGTGAGAATTCCAGCATGAACGTCGGTCAAAACACCGGCAAAATCAGCACTACAGATCGCACAATGATTTCCGCGTGTTTGCAGGCACTTTTGATCCCAAACAGGGGAGAAATCGGTGAAATTCGCAACGATTTCCGCACCTACGTAGCGTAAATCTGACAACTAAGCCTCTGTCTGGGACCTGCCACGCCCACCAACATGGCATTCGATCCGGGCGACGCGGTTTCTCGCTCGCTGAAAATGATGGATAACTTTTACATTGCGGTAAATGACATGTTTAAGTAGAAATTTCCTTTGACTTAATTAATCCTAATATATGAACTTGCCTTTTTGAATGACTTTTCACCAATTTAAAAACATATTTGGCCTATAAATATGAATTATGAAGTACTTGAAAAGTTATTTTTCTCTCATATACCATGGACATAAAAAAATTCTAAAAATTCACTTGAATTCAATTTTTAAATTTTTTACAACGATTTTATACAGAAAATTATTTTCAGATGATGCAGAATAACATATTGAAAATCCAGACGTTCCATTTTGAATGTTTCCCTGCGATTTCTGAAGAGTCTTACTTGAAGTTTTGTGACCACTTGAATGCTCTTGCTTTTGAAGCTCAGGTAAAATTAATTGCATAAATAATTTAAATAATAACTTAAATTTTGTTATTATTATGTTTTTAGCAAATTAGAGATTGCATCTTTAGCATTTCAAAAGTAGACGCTTGCTGCCAAACAGAAAATACCGTCAATACCATGTCAAATTATACTCGAAAGATTCTCTCTGCACCACCACTTAAAATAAACCCGACAATCAAACCAGAAACGCCCGTGGTGATTTCTGAAGACGAGGAGCCACTCGGCACCAAAAGGTCGCCAAACAAAAGGGACGTTTTGACTTGCGACTATTGCGAACTCAAATTCAACTCGCTGGAGAAAATGCAGCAGCACGTCAACTTTTCTCACTCGGAAGATTTTGTATCAATTTTTTACCCATGTCAGAGCTGCAGTTTGATTTTCCTGTCGCTCGAAGAACTGCATGAGCACTCTTTGTGCGTCCACGATGCTTCCGAAGACAGGCAGGACGCCGAGGTGCAGGTGTGTCCGTACTGCAGCGAGGTCAAATCGACCTGGTTGGAATTCACCACTCATCTCGAGCAGCAGCACCAAATTTTGGTCTGCAAAACGTGCCACATGTTTTTCACCGATCTGAACTCTCTAAAGGAACACGTTCAGAAATCGCACATGTCCGGCATAACGAAGGAAAAGTTGAGAGAAATGAGCGTGCGTATCGTGGAGCCCAAACCTGTGAACAAGGTGCCGGTAAACAAAAGACCCTTCGATGATATTTCAACCGTCAGAAAGAGGGGCAGACCAAGAGGATCGGCCTTGCTGGCAAAATTGGAAAATTCTGAGTTGGTGAAATGCCACTTCTGCAGCGCCAGGTTCAACAGTGAGGAGAGCCTGCGGAAGCACATAGTCTACAAACACGACACAGGGGAATTGGAGTGCGCCGAGTGCAAACTCAAATTCAAGAGAATTTCGGCTTTCGAGAACCACATGCGCCTGTTTCACGACAACGTCAGAGAAGTCAAATCTGCTTTTGCAAAGACTCCGACAGAGGCCAAGCAGAGCAGCCAAAATAAAGTGCTTGTGAAGAAGGAAGAGAACAAAAAGCAGCAACTCGGCTCTGTTTCAACACCCAAAAGCCAGGCAAAACCGAGTTGCGAAATCTGCGGGGAAATGTGCAGCCGTGTCGAGGACCAAGGAATTCACAAAGACTTCCACACCACTTTAGTACCTGATAAATTTTTGTGCCTTTTCTGCAAAGGTAAAAAATTATTTTTCTAAAATTCATTCAAATAAAGCTGCAATTTTTTATTTTATTTTCAGAACCAGCGATGTCCCATAAAGAACTGAAAACACATATCATGTCTGAGCATCGATATCGCTGCCCGTTTTGTGCGCTCACTTTTTGGTGGAAAGCAAATCTAGAAGGTCACTTGAAACAACTGCACCGGGCAAAAACCTGCTGCATTATGTGTGGCATTAATTTAGAGGGCGATGAACTCAGGCAGCACATCATGGTCAACCACACCGCTAAAAAGTTTTACTTATGCAAAGTAAAAAAGCAATTCTTTAAGTCGAATGCAAAATTAAACCTTTAATTTATTTAAAGATTTGTGATTCGGAACACACCACGATCAAGGGCATGCGAGAGCATGAATTAGACCACGCCAAAGACCCTCTGCGCCCACCTACGTGCGATTTTTGTGGTGCATATTTTGGAACAAAAACAAGTCTACGAGGCCACATTTTGCGCCACATGTTTGGCTCTTTTAGTTGTTCTCTGTGTGGGTCTCAGTGCCAAACAGAAGATGAACTCAAGGAGCACATGGGCGACCACCAAAAAAGTCAATTTGCGTGCATGTGTGGTGAATATTTTCAGACTAAGATGGATTTGCAGACTCACAAAAAGATCACTCCTTGGTAATTAAAAAACTTTTTAATTTACATGCCAAAATTGTATCTTATTATTTATTTTTTTTTTACTCTAGCAAACCGTTCTTCAATCAACCAATTCATCGCGCAGACCTATTTGTCGAAGTGTGTATCGAAGAAACTGAGCAGATCTTTTTAGACACTCCACCGACAATTTTGAAAGTGGAAACAGAAGACGAGCAATCGGAGGACATTTATCACATTAACATTGCTGAGACTCCGGCAAGCATTTCTAAAAACTTCCTTGGGTCACTTGCTACGGTAAACAAGGCCAATCAAATTGTGCTGCCGAGGCAACCAATTTTGATTCTCAACGCTGCTGAAGGCGCTGAGGCGACGCTTATTGAAAACAAAGCACCGGGAATCATGTCCTGGGTTGACAATTCGGAAGGTGCAAGTGCAAATGGTTGAATAACGTCATGTAAATTTACAAAATTAAGAGAAATGTGATACTATTTTTACATTTTACTGGCGAAGAGTTTTAATAAAAAGAGTTTGTTATAATTGCTGAAATAAACCTTTATTTAAATATGCCATGTAACTCATTACAACCATGGGTAATTACATCCAATAGTTTCGTCGGAATTTGTTCTGAAAGAAGCAAAAAATTTATTTAGAAGCTGCGATTTGTTAAATTTTGTTTTGCTATCATGCTTTACAGAAAGTTTATATTATTAAGATGGTTCATGAAAATCTGTAATTTAGGCCAAAAGACTATGAAATTAAAAAAATAGTAACCGCACATTCCTCCAAGCTGAAAGTTTGCTCGCCCATGTTATACCCTTATTTTATCAAACCGCCATTGCAAGTGCAAAAAATCTACCAAACTCAGCAGGAACGCAAATAATAGTGTTCAAATTGATTTGTGTTGTTTTTGGACTGATCGGTATTCCAATAAATGGCACATGAGTAATAGTAAATAATAATTAAATGCTACAATACTTCTTAATTTGTTTTAACTTCAACTGACATTGTGCAAAGGAAACCAGCAAGGGAACAAATAACCATAGTAAAAAGATCACAATGAATTCAGTTAACACCGACAAACAACATCATCATCTTGTGATTCGATCAATTTTAATCAAACAAAATGCTTTCTTTGATTTGTAATTAGTAGCTCATGTGCCTGGAGGGTGCAGATAGATGTTGAGTAAGCATTGTGTGGGAAGGAGGGTCAATGTGGATGGAGAAAAATTTCTGCTATTGGCAAGCTGGCTTAGATAGCGTCAATGTCGATGTCCTCTACGCCATCATCCAAAGTGTCGGTCTTCTTAGCAGGTGGAGGCTGCTGAACCTTGGTCAGCTGGGTTGAGCTCACACGATCATTATATTCAATCTGAGGAGAAGAGAAATATTTGTAAAAAGAAGTACTGGAACTCCTAAAATTCTAATTAGATTTTTTTTCTCAGAGTCTGCCTTATACATAATATCAACAAAATTATTCTGACTTGAAGTACAATAATCATTGAATTTTTAAAATGGTACAATATCAATAAATTTAAGCACCTCAAGCTCATCGTCTTCCTCAGATTCAGAGTCGCTCTCCTCTTCCTCAGCTTCACGCAGCCACTTGACAAACGGTTCTGCCTTCTGGTGCATTTCCTCGCTTAGCTCTTTGCTGACATACTTCTTGCTCACTTTGGAGGCCCATTCCAGAATGACCTTCTCCTCCAAGATGTCCAGTTCGTAAAACAGCTGATAATTCAACTATTAGAAATATTCACACATAAACTATCAGTTCATTTACCTTCAAGATGTAGGCAACCTTGGGCATCAAGGTATTCTTGTGGAGAGCGATGATCTGCTCAATGCCACCCATCAAGTACTTTTGTGCCTTTGAGTTGTTGTGGGTGAAGCGGAGGAAGAGCTTGCGTTGTTTTGGGCCCTGACTCAAGATGTTCTCGTCAAAGAGCAGCTCAACAAGGATCAGCGGAACTTTCGCGCGGATCTCAAGACGGTCAGCCATGGACTCCAGATCCTTGTGCTTGGCCTCCAGGGTGTTGGAATCGCGGAATTTCTTCACCTCTTCATAGAACAGATCAATACGTTCTTTCTCGCTCAGCTCACATTCGTCATTCATGGTGAGGTGCTTCAGGGTTTCGGTGAGCTCCTCTTTGACAACAACTGGTTCGTCGGCAATGCTGTCCCAATAGCCATCCTCTTTATCCTCTTCCTCACCGTTCTCAATGAACTAGATATAATAAAACAAAAAATAAATAAATAAAATAAATATCTAGTGGTTTACTTTGTACATAATAAGCTTTAAAATAAATATTTTAGCTGCCTATTCAGTTTTAATCCTTTACTTTTAATTAAGTTTTACTTCTTTTTGCGTTTGCGATGTATGTACGTACCATGAATGGAGAATAAATAAATAGATAAAAATTTGAAACTTACGGAATCATCGCCATCAGGGGGAGATGAACGCCCATTCTTATCGTCCGAGTCGTCATTTTGTTTCTTGGACGAGCGCTTGGCACGCTTGCCTTCGGTCAAAGACTTGCCCTGACTGGCTGGATTGATCTCTGCAATTCAAGATGCAATGATAAGTCACAAAATGTTTCAAACAAATTTTAAAGCCCTACCAGGAGGATTCTTGACAATGTAGGTGTTGATGCCGTAGTCAATCTTGATGGTTCCGTAGTAGCTGCAGGCCTTGCATGTCTGGTTGATGATGCCGTTCCTGACAAGGAGAACTGTCTCGGGATTGTCGCAGGATGGGCAGAGGACGTACTTCTTGATGAATCCGTCGAGGAGGTCCTGCAGTTTGGCTGCCTCGTGGGCGCCGTTAACAATGAAACGGTCGTTCTTGAAGTCAAACTGCGTCTGGGCTCCCAGCTTGCAACCAAAGTACTTGGTTGGGTCTGAAAATGAAATGTCATTTGTTTAAAAAAAAAATTGTGAAAACATGGAAGAATTGAACTTACAGGTTGCAGGTCGTGCCAGAGCTTTGGCTACGTCGATCATGTTGACGATGACCGTCCGTATTCCGTTGCCTTTGCCCTCAACCTTGGCCATGATCCTCGGCATCTTGTACCGGTAGAAGGGGTCCGGGTTGCTTCGGTTGACGTTGATAGCCATGGTGGATGGCGGTGGTGGTCGTGCGATCAGGAGACGTGGTCGCCAGGGGCGCCGAGCTGCGCTGCAGGTGGGGCTGGATGTTGGGAACGCGTCCTTGGGCTGGCTCGAAAATCGGGCGGGGTGCTTCCGTGTGTAAAATTCAGGGTGATGTGCTCTCAAGGGAGGTGGATAACAGTAAAATAGATTTAAACAATAGAATTTCAATCTTCAAATCAAAGTCAGTTTGCTGCTGGCGGTGGAGACTAGGTGGTGACCTCAGTCGAGTCACGTTTCTCTGAATGGCTGCAATTTTCGGTGCCTATTACTTGAAAATTTTGATGTCCTGAAAGCGAAACACAAAATCAATATACTATAATTTGGTTGATTTCCTTTAAAATAATTTGGCTTTAAAGTTTCAAGACAAAATAATTCTAGAAATCTAGAAAAAAAAAATTAAATACCCAACTTTTTGCAAACAATCAATATTGCAAAAATCAAAAGAAGAAGAGAGATGCAGTTTTAAATTAAAAAAACTCATTGTTGTATTTGAATAAGATTTTTCTATACGGACTTCTAGAAATTTCACAATAAAATTTTCTCACTATTGGAATGCAAATAAAAATGTGGAATTCAGTGAATGAAAGTTGCTATTCAACCGGCGTAGAACGAAACTGAGGCACGCGGTTCGGAAACCCCACAAATGAATCCCATTACCACTTACCTACAACTGATGGGGTTCTCCCACGTAGTTGAAATCATACACCTAGGGTCTAGGCCAAAAATTGGCTCGAGGGCTATGTGTAAACGCCCAGATTTTCCTCTGGATTGTGATATTTCTGAAATCAGAAGGAAAGCAAGTCATTAGAGCTTTGTTGGCCCAAAGGATGCTGGAGAGCGACGGAGTGTCATTTTCATCCCTGCACCTCATGTTCAGCATTCAATGCTTCCGCCGCGAATGCCGTCACCATACCGAAGGTCAAAAATTGTAGTGTTACGTCGCGAATTAAAATTATTCATCCGTTGCTGAAATATCAATTTTACTTTCAATCTCAAATAAGTCAGCAAACGTTAAAAGGACGGGAGTTTCTTATTTTGATAATAAACTGATAATAAATCGATTTTTAATGAAATTATTAATGTAATAAAACTTGAAAGAAGTGAAGACTTAAAATTGCTATGTTTAATATTAAGAAAAGTGTTCATTTACACGGATTACACGGTCAAGTTTGTCTTCAAACAGACAATTCATGAACACTCATTTAACCTCATTCAATAAAAAAAATTCACCATGTTATATATTTTGATTAAAACTACAAAAAAAGATGTGAAGCGTTAGATTAGAAATTTCAACAATTGGGGACATTTGCCGCGTTGGCTATTCCTTCTCTGCAGACTCCTCCCGACGGAGACAGGAGCAGACGGAAAAATTAAATCACCAACCGGCGACCGACCGACAGACCGAGTGCCAGCGAGTCAGCCTGCTGGGAGCGAGGTGAAAATCAATAGAGCAGCGTGAAGTAATAAAAATACACCAGCAAGCGACTCGGGGGCAATCATCAGGCCCCGAATTAATTAGAGACGGGCCGAGGGGAACGGAAAATCAAAGGTGAGAAAATTGGGTACCTTCGCCTTTCTGCAGCATATGTTTTTGTCTCGAAAATGGAAGGAAGACTGAGTGAGGGTGTTGTGTCGGCGGCGGCGGCGAACCAACTCCCGGGGTGGGAGTCGGTCGGTCGGTGGGTTGGTCGACGGCGAGTGCGCTTTTCGCTCCACGCCGCCTAGAGAACGATCGGCCGCCGAGACGAATGCCACTATTTACGCAATTAAAATTAAAATGATGTCCGAGAGCAGGGGGAGGAGTTTTGAATCGCGGTTATCTTTCGCGAGGGCGCCCCGTCGTCGCACGCGGAAACAAAGAAAAGCTGCCAAGGCGAAAATAAATTTCAAAATAGAAGAAAACGACGATATTTTAATATTCATTCCGACGAATGCCGATTTGGCTTATCTGCGAATTTATTTATCGATCAATTTAGTTCCATAGCAGTCTGGGTAAATAAAACTTGAGGGGCTTTGCGTATTATGAGATCGCTGCCTTCAAGGTGCTGCTTTCATTTGTATGACGGCGGCGAGGTATCGCATAATTGGGACACGTAAACTTCGCCCAAGTTTCTTATCCGTTGGAAAAATTTATGTGAGTAAGAAATAGATAGCTCGTTTTTTTTTTATCAATAAACAATGAAAAATTCATAATTACCTAAGATTAGATATTTGAAAATATTAAAAAATGAATATGATTAAAATTATATAAAGCATTCAGTTAGTTTTCATATGAAGTAAAATATCTATCTTTTTCTTTAAATATGACGCAACAGTATTAAAAGCAGCTTTTGAAATGGTAATTCTGATAATTGTTAACAATTATATCATAAGACACTTAATTATGAATAAAAAAAAATGCAAATTTGCTTACTTTGTGCACAGCCAACTCGTTTTCTTTCCAGACAAGTATAATTTGGTAAATCACCAGCTTATATGCAACCGGCATGTTGTGCACTCCACATTCCACAATCAAGAGTCAAGAGTGCTTCATTTTCGAGGAAAAGAAATTTATTTATTTGACTTCGCACAAACGGCGTGACCTCTGACCCGCTCGCTATGCTGCGTTGTCAAGAGAGAGAACACGAAGGGAGGATTTCTCGCAGCTTTTAAATTTAGAAAGGGGAAAACTAGCTGCTGCTGCTGGTGTGCGCCAATTAGTGTGCCATTATGTGCAGCGGCACATTTCGGCGACGCACTTAGCAGCGAGTGTGTGAAACAACTTCATTGTCTGATTATATATGAAGCTCTTCACGAAACAAATGAATTTGCGGTCAGGTCAGGATTCACCATTGTTGCTTCTTCAAATGAAATTCCGTTCAACTTGGCCACCAAAACTGTATTAATGTTAATTAAATCAAAATTCATTGATAAACGTTTAGCGAAAAACATTATAAAAAATATAAAAATCCTAAAAAATTAAATTCATGCAAAATGTATTTTGAATATAAGTCAGAATTTAAGCCTAAATTTGACAATCACAAAAAAGCGACCTTTTTAAATTTTGATGTATATTTCTACGTTTTTTTATATTTGGTTTTCCCCAAAGGATTTAGGTTTGCGTTATTTTCCGCCTGGGTATATTTTTAACTGGCAAGCAGATTGCAGGTGGCTGCGGAGGTGGCGGAGCGGCGGAGTTCAAAAACGACCTCGGCAGCACCATCATATTGATCTCGCGGTGAAAATGCTCCTGTCGAGGGAGCGTGCGCGAACTTATTGCAATTGGAAATGACGAGGTGGGTGCTTTGCTTGCCTTCCATCCCGAGCGGCTATTATTGCTACTTGCAAGTTGGCCGTGTGCATCATGCGCGGAAAAAGAAGTGCCCATTGACGTCACCCGCTTTTCTTCTTTGCACCGACCAACGCTGAGTAAAGCAAAAACGACGCGCGATTGCACCGATATCTCAATAGAGCAAACGCCGCTTCTCGACACATTTGTTAGCTCAACCTTAGATTAAGAGTGATTTAAACCGCGTGCATATATTTAAGTAAAAACGCTGTCAACATGACGTTCCACAAGCCATCGGCGGCAATATCAAATAGACAAACAGCGCTTTTGTAAAATAACATTTTAAATCAAAAGTGGTAGGTATCCTAAATTGAAACAAATAAACAAGTCTCGTCAGGTAACAGTCGACCCGAGTTATTCTGATGACGGTTCATTTCCTTTGACAAAACAGCTCTTGAAAAAAATATTATCAAAATTATCATAGCTTATTTAGTCACTAATCATAAATAAAATTGTTTTCTAAAAATCTGCCAGAATCAGTTTAATATCACCCCAATTAATATGGGAAAACAAATATAGGCGTTAAAAGATACGTTATTGAAAAAGGGAAAAACTATCAAAATTAGGGATTTGGAAATATGCCCCTTTTCAGATGAAGATCACTATTTTGAACAGAAAATTCAATTAAAATGAATTAAATTTTTATTTTACTTCTCAATTCATTAAATTTTATAAATCAGAAATGCTCGATAGAATTTGCAGTGGGCGCCAGTTTGCAATGTTTACGAACACCGTTTGTCCGCCTTTTACAATTTAAATTGGAGATATAAGTGTTCAAGGCGGACAAGGTCAATCGCAGGCGCCTGCTTGCACACCAGTAATTGTGCTCAACACTGTACACGTAGAACGTTTTTGTTCGTTACCAGCTGAGAGAGTTTCTGCAACCAGACTCGTGTGTATTTGCCAATTTCAGAATAGGATGAAAAGTTGAAAAAATTTGGTACCTTTCTAGCCACGTATCCGCTCCTCATAATGAGCTTGGCCGTTGTGTCGGTGGATTGGATGCGAGCTCAACACAGCCAGCGCAATATCGATTGTGAATTTTCGAATAATTTCTCAGCGCAGGTTATAAAAGTTATGTCGACGGTTTATCGAGGCGGCAGTGAAAGTGAAAGACCAACAGCAGGTCGCCGAGCCAACGAACTCTTTCGTTTCCCCACGGCGAGGCTCGACCGACTGAAAGGCATTTCGTGATCGCTGGCATGCAAATCGTTGCAAAAACTGCGAGAATGGTTTCCTTGTTTTGATCCCCGCCACAGATTAGTTCATCGGGAGTGCGAGATTTGCAAAATATGTTTTTGACTGATAAAAAAAATAACAACTACGCTGTTGGATGTTTTACAATTATAAATGTGCGGAATTTAATTAAGCTGGCAATTGTTTCTTTTTAAAATTTAAAATGTTTTTGTACACAAATTATTCTCATTAAATAATTATTTATTTTTATGGAGTTAAATTTGTTTATAATTATAAAAAAAATAAGTATATCTACTTTTGCAGAAAACAACAAAATCAGAAAATTTAAATTTAAAAATTATAATTTTGATATATTATTTCCATGAGATTTCCCCAAAATTATTAATGATACATATTACTGTAAACAAAAATTTAAAATATTTGATTTTGAGTGAAATAGATAATTTATTTCATTTCAATCTTTCTTCACTACATCTTGATCGGAATAAATGCCAAAACTTTATTTAAGTTTCCATTCATCATACAAAAATCAGACGAAAAGCGAAACTGCCATTTGCAAATATGAATTCTCGCACGTTTCAAGGCTACTACCAGCCAATTTTTGCTGACCGCGCGCCAAAACTTCAGTAATTAACGCCTCGTCCGAATAAGAGTGACCGCGACCGAGTTCGATCATAATTGGTCTACCAAACTATAAACTTGCGAGATGACGCGTTGGCGCCGACATTTCTCCGTCCCTCGTTCAACCTCTGGAATCAAGAGCTTTGCAAACATCACGGGCCGCGGATTTGAATGAAAAAAATAAAAGCGTTTAGTCCGAACAATACGCGACTGAATAGGTGCGAGAGGGGTAGTTTTGGGCGCAACGTTCGTGGGCACCAGTCTGCCGGAAAGTCTGCAGCGCAGGCAGACGGATCAATGATGATGAGCCTCGTCTCATGCCAGCCTCGTTTTCCACATAAAATTTACATGCGGCTATAAAAAAGAAAACTAGGTGGCAAAAAATTTGAATGTGGGAAACTCCTCGTCTGCGAAAGTTTTGAGTGGATTTGAGGGGTTTTGGCCAACCTAGACACTGTTGGGGAGGGGAAAGACCACAGTGAATAAATATGAAGAATGAATTTGACCAAATCTTAATTTGGTTTAAAACTGAATAATTAAAAATTACAATTATGATAAAAAAAATCGCAGATAAATTTGTTGCAAACCTGATTTGTATTTCATTAAAACTGAATTTTCAAGTTTGAAGTTTAATTTGCTTGACTTTTCTGAGTCCAAGTGAATTTCCAACATTTCCTTTAGTCACAATTTCCATATTGAAGTGTTCATAATCAGAAATTTCACGGAGTTTGTTTAAAGTAGGTCATAATATACATCAGAGACAACAGAGAGAGCCAATTTGCAGGCACTCGACTTTGCATGTTCAGAGGCCTTAAATAAAGGCGCTTTTCTGCAGCACCCGAGCTTTTAATATTTGGAATGGAACACAGACTGCGGCAGAGAATTCATTTCATCTCCTGCACTGCATTGTTGGCCGAGTTGGAAAAAATGGCAGAATTTGGCCGTGAACTTTTCACATTCAATTTGCTGCAGCGCTCTTTACTCAAAGAACCTTTTGTTCCCAACCTTCAAAGAATTTTAAAGATAATAATTAGCTGCTCTACCATAATCTCATCAAGGACGCCAAGGTCTTGATTTAAGAAATCAATATTAACAAATTGATTTATAATTCAAACGAAAAACTATTTTGAAGTTAAAAATATTTGTATCGCTGGGAAATGATTAAATATTCAGAAGATATAAAAAAGACCGTAAATTATTTTATATTATTTAATTTATTATTTTCTCTGCTTAATTAAAAAACGATTTGAGTGAATTTAAAATATAAAACTGGTAGCAAAGAATGCCTTTGAATAAATATTACAAAGTCCAACGCAACTTACGGTTTTGAAAGTGTCGATCACTCACAGAATACAGAGATTTGAAAAGTGAACCAAGATAAGAAATTGATCAGTAAAGAAGACGGGAAAGTCTTATCGAAAATGCTCAAATAATCAAAATTGCTCTTGGGTCTGCTTTGCAATGCACTCATCCAACCTTAGACTTACTTGAATTAGAGGGTGCATACAAAAATTATTATTTATTTCATGATTCACGGACTAAAGTCGAAGGCCATCGAAGTTTCATTCTATACTTTATTTCAATCCTGGTGGAAATCATTAATTTAAAAAACTTAGTTAAACTTTGATATTTCAAATTGTGTAAAATCTTAAGTAAATTTTTTAATTATTCTCACTTCTTCCTGAAATATTCAGGTTGGCTTTAATTTCTGAAGTGCAATTCGATGTTGGTCTTTGAGCACGATGATCATCTGGTTCTGCGAGCGTGATCTAGGTCAGTCTGTGGCAGTGGAGCGAGCACGCCTGCCTGCCTCGCTCCATCTCTCTCACCTCGGTTTGTCGGTTTGCCAAAATATCACAAAATCTTCCGCTTGACAAAAGACAAAACAAGACTTTGTGTCTTTTTCTAAAATTGGCATCGCTTTAAGAATAATTTGCCACCTCAATAAAATTAAATTTTTGACATAAATTTTATTGAATTAAAATTTAAAAAATTCTGCTTTTTAAGGATTTCTGTAAATATTTGTTGTTACTTCATTTTAATGTAAATTTAATATTTTGAGAATCAATCATTTTTTTTTAACCTCGAATAGACTTATGTAAAGGAATTTTCCAAAACGTGGTTGCTTCGTTATAAAATGGCGTGTGATTGTATGTAATTTCCGTCCCATGCGATTTCGAATATACCAGCGAGGTCACTACAGGAGTGAAAATTTAAATTTTCCGAGAAATGAAAAATTATTCAGGTTTTGACCTGGCGCTGCTGGATCTTTAATGAAAAATTTTTGATTTCGTCATCAAATTATTTCATTTTAATAACTTCGAAAATAATTTTTTCGAAAAACTTTCCCTATCAGAGATGCAGGGTGGTGTCCATTGTGTTCGAACTTTCGAACACGAGCGAATTATTTTCTAATTTCCAATCGATCGTGTCGCACTACTACTTACCGAAATGGCGATGAAAAGTCATATAAAATGCAGTTACGCCCTTGGGACGGGAGACGGCAAGCAAACAAAAAGAAGCAGACCCAATCTCTTGGTGGTGGAACTCCGTGGGAAACTCTCAAATTCGCACCTTGGTCTGAAAACACACGTGCAAATTTTAATTTTTCAATTCGGCGACGTAGGCGAGTGCGTGCTGGAGGTCGAATGGAGAGGCCCTCGAATCATCTTTCTCCATGTTTGACCCACCGACCCACACGTAGCGCGATCGCTGCGAACGCGACTTCCCGACGCTTTTTCCACCCTCCCAAACCCTTCCAGCGAAAATTCGCACAAAGGTTAAACAAACCTCGGGCACGGTGGCCTCGAAGAAGGTGCTTACGTACCTGTGGAACTCAAATTAATCGCCGTGCGAGTGAAATTTCTGGCCACAGAATGGTGAACGTGCAGACTTGCGCTGCGCACGAGGAGTCGAGTGCCGCGAGAGGAGAAAAGGGGAGGGGCGAGGGGTAACATAATTTATTTCAAAGAAAAACTTGGTCCTCTTGAACTTCCTCGATCAGAAAATTTAGGATTAAAATTAGGTAAAAAAAATTTGTATTTTTCACTCCTATTTAAGTTTGATTTTAAGTTCAAAAGAGGCAAAATTCGAATAGTCCTTTGAAAGGGCAAGTGATTTTTGCGCTTTGCGCTGCTCACTTGTCTTTTTGAATTCGCCAATCGGCGCGAATCAAGGAAAATGGACTGCGAGTGAAGGGTTGAAAGTCGGCCGGGGGCCGCAGGATTTCGTGTTGAGAAGGGTGTTTGCATTGCACCCTAGTTGTACGCTAAAGCGTTTAATACAAAATCCTTTTTTTTTAAGTAAAATGGCTCTTATTGCCCTTAACCTTTCCTCCGCAACAAGCAATGGGACTTCCGCACCAAGACAACACATTTTGTGACTCAACAGATTTTTAAAATCCATACGCAAACGCGTTAAACTTAAAATGAAAGAATTATTTATTAAATCTGGTCGATTTCACAAATTTTACTGAGCAGGAGAAAAAAATATAGAAAAAAAATGAAGATTGAATTTTAATAGACTATTTCAAATCAATTATTACCAGACAAGTTACACCAAAATTCTTTATTATTTCTTATATTTAGTGCACTTGCAATAAAAGTTTTTTGAGGTCACATATTTTTTAAATATCTAATTTAATTAAAGACTAACAGGAATGTTCATGCAAAGCTCAAGTTGTAAATTGATTAAATAAAGATGGGGAGAGAATGATTATTGAAAAATATATCAAACATCAGCGCAGCAACAAAAGAGGTTAAATAAAAACTTTAGTGTATGCGTTTTTCTGACTGATTTTTGCGGATTTTTGTTTCGTTTTGCTAAGTCCATGCCTAGAACAATACTGATTTTCCCCATTTTGTCATCCCCTTGCTTTCTTTATATTTTGCAATATTTTGGCAATATTCATGTCATTCAAAGTACTGTGCCATTTAATTAGTAGGTAAAACCTATTAAAGCCTAATTTTTTTTAAAGATTATTGGATATCCAGTTTGTTTTTCTTCATTGAAATTAATGGAAGATTTTTTTATTAAAATTAAAGCAATTATTTACACACTCTTACCAAAATTTATTTTCTTATGCAAAGCCAAGTTTTTGGGGGCTTAAACACCTGGTTCATGTATTCATTGGTACCCTCGACATAAGGAACGTGCCAGGAATCTCCGGTCTTTTGTGAAAATGGTAAAAACGATGACGGAGGCTGTAATTTTCATTCAAAATTATTAAAAATAGCCTATTAAATCAAAAATGAAAATTAATTTACGTAAATCAGTGCTTTTGCTCGGGATACAAGACCAAAAACAGAATATTGTCGGGCCAGTTGCCATCTTTTAAACAGTCTTTCCATTTCCACATCATTCAGCTTGTGTTTGTGGCCCCTCATCATATCCCTTGAAACAAAATATGTATCTGGGCCTCCAGACATTGCAGCATAAAGGACGAAAGGATCGTCTTGAGATCTACACAGATATAAATATTAGCGAGTTATTAATAACATAAATTATATTAAATTCAAGGTGGATTTCATAAAAATTTCATCATTAATTTTGTTGTTGTTTCCACTCTGTAGTCAGTGTCCCATTGGGAGTTAATTTTAAAGAGATGAAATATAGGCTATAATTATCAAAGTTTAGACTATTGTATCAAATATTTTAACTTATTTTGAATTCAAAGCAATAAAAAAATTGATTTTTCCAGACTCACAAGTTCTCTGTTAGGAAGACTTTTGAATTTCTTTGAATATAATCCATTTTTCTTCTGTTCCACTTTAACATGTGAGCTCTTCCAATAACTAAAATCTTCATGTCTCTTGCAAGAAAATACTCCACAACATCTGTAAGCTGCAATTGAAAATGCAATTAGAAATTAACTAACGCTACATTTTGAAGTTTATCCTTACTAAGTCAATTGGAGGAATGGCATTTCGGACTCCAGCACAGAAGGCAGCGTTGAGTCCATCGATGACCACGTCGTAGGGACGGCTTTGCTTTAAGAAAGCACTAAACCTCTCAATTTCTCCTGGCGATGACTTAGAGAAAACATCTTTGCCCAAAAGATTTTTTTCAAAAAAGTGTGCGCTGAGAATGTTGAATTCTTCTAACGATATATGAATCGATGGCAGTTTTTTCCTGCACGCCACGCACATCCCACTGGAATTTGAAAATTCAATATAGAGTTGCAAAATTATTTAGTAAATTGATATACTTTGGCCTAACAGCTGTGCTCTCAACCTTCCACGCAGGCTTAACCACACATTCAAAGTACTGCTTCACATCTTCAGCGATGACCTCGTTGACAGGATAATTAATTTCATAAAAGTAGTTTAGGATGGACTCTGCACCAGCCAAAGTAGGTTCATTTTCAGCACAGTATTGTAGCCAAGTTGAAAAGGTCTCTGCTCTGACATGCTTCCCTTCAACACCGGCTTTATTTAGGAAATCCCAACCTAGTTTTGGATCCTTGTTACGAAAGGCAGTGGTAATCAGTATGGTGTAAATGTGTATTCCCATGATGCCAGAAGATCGTACGAATTCGACAAGTTCGAAGCACTCTCTCCAACGGGAGGTCCACGAAAGGGCCAAGATGCAGTTTTCGGCTAGGGTTCCAATGAAAAAAGGAATTCTATTTTTCAAAAGGTCGTAGTACTTGAAAATTACTTCTTCCGACGGCTCAGGCCAGGTGGAGTGACAGAGGCGGAGAAAAACTGATATTGTGCCGTTGTTGATTTCCTTGTCGTTCTCCTCGAGATACTTCAAAAAGCACAAAGCAAGATTGTAATTGTTCTCCGTGAGGCAATGGCTCATGACAATCCCAGAAATGTTGATGTTGTTGACACTCCACTTTGGCATTTCCAGCGCATTGCTAAGTATCTCGTCCCACTCATGACTGCTGTAAAGTTTCCCTGCCGCCACTTTGCTTAGAAGGAACGAGTGTGCGTCCATTCGTCTTTTGTCTCCAAAACCAAATTCGTTAGGCGCATCTTCTGGGCTTTTTTCAAAGTCCTCGAATTCTTCCATGATAGTCGATTTTCTTGTCAGCAATCGAAGCGGTTGCCTTTGTAATCGGGCCACTCGAATGGTGAGGGCAGAGAGTTTTGTGATGACTTGTAGATTCATTTTTGCTTTTTAATGCTGAAAAATGAAACATATTTCAATAGATGGCATAAATAATTTTTTTTCATTAAGAAAATCGGTAAACGCGACGGTACAAAACATTAAATGAAAATAAAGAGCAAAATATTACATCATACAACATGCATACACATAACCTGCCGTGCCTCAAACAAAACACAAGTTGAATTTGGCGGAATTTGGTATCACAGTTCGAGTCTCCAATTATTAAAGTTTCTTTATTATAAACGCATGTCCTCGAAGTGGCTTCAACTAATCCTCAAAAAAAATTATAATTTTCCTGCCCGTGATCGCGATTGATCGCGATGTCCGTGGTCGTGCCGGCTGTTTTGTTTTTGTTTTTTTTATCAACGTGAAGTTAGCCACGAGGAGGCAGGAGGCTTTTCAAAAGAGGCGTAACTTGCGCGCGAAATCTTAAGTGGATGATTATGCTGCTTGAGCATCGTGAAGTTAGCCAGAAATCCTAGCCAGTCGCCGGAAGTTAGCCAGTTGGCTGGAAATTGGCCACTCGCGTCATTTGGGCGGATGTATCGAATATCGATTCCCGATTTTTTAAAGTGGGGAGCATAGGGGAGGTGAGTATTTATCGCAACTTTTTACAGTTGACCTTCTAATATTCTTCTCATACACCAAGTCGCAGCAATAAATCGCAGTGTTCTAAAAGTGCACGGAGGAAGGAATTTCAGAAGCTAATTTGAAAAACAGTTCCAATGGTCTTAAAAAAATTATATTTAAAAGTAAATACAACGAAAATTATATTTAAAAGAAAATACCAACGAAAATTAATCAAGCCGAGGGACGCATGGGTAAAACTAAAAATAATGCAAAATCCCTAAGCCTAATAAACAATTGCAAATTTTTGTTTTGCGAATTTTGAAAAAATATCAATAAAAATTAATGGAAATTTTAAATATGTAAAATAGGCAACCATCGATGGCTGCAACTTTATTTACACGAAATTAAAAATATTGAAACTTAAAACAATAAAACTTAAAAACAAATGCGCTAAAACCATGCATTGGAACTTAGAGAAATTTTAATCAAAGTTAACCTTCATCCCCCTGAACAAGAAAAACTGCCAGCCATCGATGGCCGCATCATAGTTTTTAACGAAAAAATAATTGAAAGTTTGAAAATTTGGAAAAAAGGCAATAAATTTTACTCGGGGCGGCATTGCACAAAAACTATGCATTGGAAGTTAATGCTGTTAATGTAATTTTAATAAAAGTTAGCCCTTATCATCCTGAATGCCTGAATGTAAAAATCTGCCCGCCATCGATGGCCGCATCACAGTTTTTTAAGAAAAAAATAATTAAAAGTTTGAAAAAATGGTAAAAAGGCAATAAATTTTACTCAGGGTGGCGTTGCACAAAAACAAAGGATTGGGAGTAAATGTAATTTTAATCAAAGTTAACCTTCATCACCCTGAACATAAAAAAGGGCCAGCCATTGATGGCCGCGACTTAGTTTTTTTATTTGAAAAATAATAAGTTAAAAAAAATTAAAAAATTTTCAAAAATATTGCTAAAAGTGGAATTGCTCGAATACTATGCATTGGAAGTTAATGAAATTTTAATCAGAGGTAACCTTAATCATCTTAAACATAAAAAAGTGCCAGCCATTGATGGCCGCGACTTTGTTTTTTTATTTGAAAAATAATAAGTTGGGAAAAATTAAAAAAAATTCAAAAATAATACTAAAAGTGGAATTGTGGAATTGCTCGAATACTATGCATTGGAAGTTAATGAAATTTTAATCAGAGGTAACTTGAATCATCTTGAACGTAAAAAAGTGCCAGCCATTGATGGCCGCGACTTAGTTTTTTTATTTAAAAATAATGAGTTGTAAAAAATTAAAAAATTTTTCAAAAATAATGCTAAAAGTGGAATTGCTCGAATACTATGCATTGGAAGTTAATGAAATTTTAATCAGAGGTAACTTTTATCATCTTAAACGTAAAAAAGTGCCAGCCATTGATGGCCGCGACTTAGTTTTTTTATTTGAAAAAAAATAAGTTGAAAAAATTAAAAAATTTTCAAAAAAAATGCTAAAAGTGGAATTGCTCAAATACTATGCATTGGAAGTTAATGAAATTTTAATCAGAGGTAACTTGAATCATCTTGAACGTAAAAAAGTGCCAGCCATTGATGGCCGCCACTTAGTTTTTTTATTTGAAAAATAAAAAGTTGTAAAAAATTAAAAAAATTTTCAAAAATAATGCTAAAAGTGGAATTGCGCGAATACTATGCATTGGAAGTTAATGAAATTTTAATCAGAGGTAACTTTTATCATCTTAAACGTAAAAAAGTGCCAGCCATTAATGGCCGCGACTTTGTTTTTTTATTTGAAAAATAATAAGTTGAAAAAAATTTCCAAAAATACTGCTAAAAGTGGAATTGCTCTAATACTATGCATTGGAAGTTAATGAAATTTTAATCAGAGGTAACTTGAATCATCTTAAACGAAAAAAAGTGCCAGCCATTGATGGCCGCGACTTAGTTTTTTTATTTGAAAAATAAAAAGTTGTAAAAAATTAAAAAAATTTTCAAAAATAATGCTAAAAGTGGAATTGCGCGAATACTATGCATTGGAAGTTAATGAAATTTTAATCAGAGGTAACTTTTATCATCTTAAACGTAAAAAAGTGCCAGCCATTGATGGCCGCGACTTTGTTTTTTTATTTGAAAAATAATAAGTTGAAAAAAATTTTCAAAAATAATACTAAAAGTGGAATTGCTCGAATACTATGCATTGGAAGTTAATGAAATTTTAATCAGAGGTAACTTGAATCATCTTAAACGAAAAAAAGTGCCAGCCATTGATGGCCGCGACTTTGTTTTTTTATTTGAAAAATAATAAGTTGAAAAAAATTTTCAAAAATAATACTAAAAGTGGAATTGCGCGAATACTATGCATTGGAAGTTAATGAAATTTTAATCAGAGGTAACTTTTATCATCTTAAACGTAAAAAAGTGCCAGCCATTGATGGCCGCGACTTTGTTTTTTTATTTGAAAAATAATAAGTTGAAAAAAATTTTCAAAAATAATACTAAAAGTGGAATTGCTCGAATACTATGCATTGGAAGTTAATGAAATTTTGATCAGAGGTAACTTGAATCATCTTAAACGAAAAAAAGTGCCAGCCATTGATGGCCGCGACTTAGTTTTTTTATTTGAAAAATAAAAAGTTGTAAAAAATTAAAAAAATTTTCAAAAATAATGCTAAAAGTGGAATTGCTCGAATACTATGCATTGGAAGTTAATGAAATTTTAATCAGAGGTAACTTTTATCATCTCGAACATAAAAAAGTGCCAGCCATTGATGGCCGCGACTTTGTTTTTTTATTTGAAAAATAATAAGTTGGGAAAAATTAAAAAAAAAAATTCAAAAATTATACTAAAAGTGGAATTGCTCGAATACTATGCATTGGAAAATAATGAAATTTTAATCAGAGGTAACTTTTATCATCTTGAACATAAAAAAGTGCCAGCCATTGATGGCCGCGACTTTGATTTTCTATTTGAAAAATAATAAGTTGGGAAAAATTAAAAAAAAAATCAAAAATAATACTAAAAGTGGAATTGCTCGAATACTATGCATTGGAAGTTAATGAAATTTTAATCAGAGGTAACTTTTATCATCTTGAACATAAATAAGTGCCAGCCATTGATGGCCGCGACTTAGTTTTTTTATTTGAAAAATAATAAGTTGTAAAAGATTTTCAAAAATAATGCTAAAAGTGGAATTACTCGAATACTATGCATTGGAAGTTAATGAAATTTTAATCAGAGGTAACTTGAATCATCTTGAACGTAAAAAACTGCCAGTCATAGATGGCCGCATTACAGAGTAGGAATAAATTTAAAAAAATTTATTATAACAAAATTTTATTTAAATTGCATTAATTTCTGTTTGTGTAACCACATGAGTTAATAAGCAAATTCCATCTGAGCGCATCAAAATTTAACCAGAGCTGGAGACAGGCCCGGGAGAATTCATTTGGGGCTTAATTTATGTTTCCGGCTAACTATTGGGATTTGGGGAATAATTGGCCTTTTTATCTTAATTTTATTATCTCACAATTTGACTTATAGTTTATAGTTGAGTTTTGCTACAATGCCTAATTCCTTAAATTAATCATAAATCCTGTTTCTCTTAATTTATCTTAATGATAGAGTTAGCTTTAATCTGAAACTAATCTGAGATTATTCAGGCTTTCATTTAAGATCTTAATTTCACCACGTGGGGACACGTGTTGACCAAAGTTTATCTAATTTTATCTATAATCTCTCTTAATTAAGTCAAGTTAATTCTCTTATTTTAATTTACTTTATTTCTTAATTCAAGGTTGGTTATCTTCAATTACTACACAAGGGTTTAAATTTAATAATAAGTGATAAGGTTTTATTTTCTTAAATCTTACAATTAAAAGGTTTATAATTAATTATATTTAAATATCTTCTAATAAATAGGCGAGGATAATTAAAATTACATATTAAGTGAGAGAATCTTTAAAAGGATGATTTGAAGCTGCTCGAGAATTAACCGGGGTTGTGATGCTAGTGTGGTAAAACGTTAATTTTTTTCAATTTCAATATGGTGTTTTGAGCGAAAAAGTGATGATTTGTCAATTTTAAACGTCTGAACGGTTTGAGGCGCCACGAGTAAAATTTATTGCTTTCTTTAAAATTTTATTCACACTTTTAATTTTTTTATAAAAAAACTGATGCGGCCATCGATGGTTGTTTTTTACAATCAGGATGATAAGGGCTAACTTTGATTAAAATGTCATTATCTTCCAATAAATAGTTTTTGTGCAATGGCACCCCGAGTAAAAATTATTGCCTTTTTTTAAATTTTTTCACACCTTTTAATTTTTTTATTAAAAAAACTGTGATGCGGCCATCGATGGCTGGCAGTTTTTTACATTCAGGATGATAAGGGCTAACTTTGATTAAAATTTCATTAACTTCCAATGCATAGTATTCGAGCAATTCCACTTTTAGCATTATTTTTGAAAATTTTTTTAATTTTTTACAACTTTTTATTTTTCAAATAAAAAAACTAAGTCGCGGCCATCAATGGCTGGCACTTTTTTACGTTTAAGATGATAAAAGTTACCTCTGATTAAAATTTCATTAACTTCCAATGCATAGTATTCGAGAAATTCCACTTTTAGCAGTATTTTTGAAAATTTTTTTCAACTTATTTTTTTTCAAATAAAAAAACTAAGTCGCGGCCATCAATGGCTGGCACTTTTTTACGTTTAAGATGATAAAAGTTACCTCTGATTAAAATTTCATTAACTTCCAATGCATAGTATTCGAGAAATTCCACTTTTAGTATTATTTTTGAAAATTTTTTTCAACTTATTATTTTTCAAATAAAAAAACAAAGTCGCGGCCATCAATGGCTGGCACTTTTTTTCGTTTAAGATGATTCAAGTTACCTCTGATTAAAATTTCATTAACTTCCAATGCATAGTATTCGAGCAATTCCACTTTTAGTTTTATTTTTGAAAATTTTTTTCAACTTATTATTTTTCAAATAAAAAAACAAAGTCGCGGCCATCAATGGCTGGCACTTTTTTACGTTTAAGATGATAAAAGTTACCTCTGATTAAAATTTCATTAACTTCCAATGCATAGTATTCGCGCAATTCCACTTTTAGCATTATTTTTGAAAATTTTTTTAATTTTTTACAACTTTTTATTTTTCAAATAAAAAAACTAAGTCGCGGCCATCAATGGCTGGCACTTTTTTTCGTTTAAGATGATTCAAGTTACCTCTGATTAAAATTTCATTAACTTCCAATGCATAGTATTAGAGCAATTCCACTTTTAGCAGTATTTTTGAAAATTTTTTTCAACTTATTATTTTTCAAATAAAAAAACAAAGTCGCGGCCATTAATGGCTGGCACTTTTTTACGTTTAAGATGATAAAAGTTACCTCTGATTAAAATTTCATTAACTTCCAATGCATAGTATTCGCGCAATTCCACTTTTAGCATTATTTTTGAAAATTTTTTTAATTTTTTACAACTTTTTATTTTTCAAATAAAAAAACTAAGTCGCGGCCATCAATGGCTGGCACTTTTTTACGTTCAAGATGATTCAAGTTACCTCTGATTAAAATTTCATTAACTTCCAATGCATAGTATTTGAGCAATTCCACTTATAGCATTTTTTTTGAAAATTTTTTAATTTTTTCAACTTATTTTTTTTCAAATAAAAAAACTAAGTCGCGGCCATCAATGGCTGGCACTTTTTTACGTTTAAGATGATAAAAGTTACCTCTGATTAAAATTTCATTAACTTCCAATGCATAGTATTCGAGCAATTCCACTTTTAGCATTATTTTTGAAAAATTTTTTAATTTTTTACAACTCATTATTTTTAAATAAAAAAACTAAGTCGCGGCCATCAATGGCTGGCACTTTTTTACGTTCAAGATGATTCAAGTTACCTCTGATTAAAATTTCATTAACTTCCAATGCATAGTATTCGAGCAATTCCACAATTCCACTTTTAATATTATTTTTGAATTTTTTTTAATTTTTCCCAACTTATTATTTTTCAAATAAAAAAACAAAGTCGCGGCCATCAATGGCTGGCACTTTTTTACGTTTAAGATGATTAAGGTTACCTCTGATTAAAATTTCATTAACTTCCAATGCATAGTATTCGAGCAATTCCACTTTTAGCAATATTTTTGAAAATTTTTTAATTTTTTTTAACTTATTATTTTTCAAATAAAAAAACTAAGTCGCGGCCATCAATGGCTGGCCCTTTTTTACGTTCAGGGTGATGAAGGTTAACTTTGATTAAAATTTCATTAACTTCCAATGCATAGTATTTGAGCAATTCCACTTTTAGCATTTTTTTTGAAAATTTTTTAATTTTTTCAACTTATTTTTTTTCAAATAAAAAAACTAAGTCGCGGCCATCAATGGCTGGCACTTTTTTTCGTTTAAGATAATAAAAGTTACCTCTGATTAAAATTTCATTAACTTCCAATGCATAGTATTCGAGCAATTCCACTTTTAGTATTATTTTTGAAAATTTTTTTCAACTTATTATTTTTCAAATAAAAAAACTAAGTCGCGGCCATCAATGGCTGGCACTTTTTTACGTTTAAGATGATAAAAGTTACCTCTGATTAAAATTTCATTAACTTCCAATGCATAGTATTCGAGAAATTCCACTTTTAGCAGTATTTTTGAAAATTTTTTTCAACTTATTTTTTTTCAAATAAAAAAACTAAGTCGCGGCCATCAATGGCTGGCACTTTTTTACGTTTAAGATGATAAAAGTTACCTCTGATTAAAATTTCATTAACTTCCAATGCATAGTATTCGAGCAATTCCACTTTTAGTATTATTTTTGAAAATTTTTTTCAACTTATTATTTTTCAAATAAAAAAACAAAGTCGCGGCCATCAATGGCTGGCACTTTTTTTCGTTTAAGATGATTCAAGTTACCTCTGATTAAAATTTCATTAACTTCCAATGCATAGTATTCGAGCAATTCCACTTTTAGTATTATTTTTGAAAATTTTTTTCAACTTATTATTTTTCAAATAAAAAAACAAAGTCGCGGCCATCAATGGCTGGCACTTTTTTACGTTTAAGATGATAAAAGTTACCTCTGATTAAAATTTCATTAACTTCCAATGCATAGTATTCGCGCAATTCCACTTTTAGCATTATTTTTGAAAATTTTTTTAATTTTTTACAACTTTTTATTTTTCAAATAAAAAAACTAAGTCGCGGCCATCAATGGCTGGCACTTTTTTTCGTTTAAGATGATTCAAGTTACCTCTGATTAAAATTTCATTAACTTCCAATGCATAGTATTAGAGCAATTCCACTTTTAGCAGTATTTTTGAAAATTTTTTTCAACTTATTATTTTTCAAATAAAAAAACAAAGTCGCGGCCATTAATGGCTGGCACTTTTTTACGTTTAAGATGATAAAAGTTACCTCTGATTAAAATTTCATTAACTTCCAATGCATAGTATTCGCGCAATTCCACTTTTAGCATTATTTTTGAAAATTTTTTTAATTTTTTACAACTTTTTATTTTTCAAATAAAAAAACTAAGTCGCGGCCATCAATGGCTGGCACTTTTTTACGTTCAAGATGATTCAAGTTACCTCTGATTAAAATTTCATTAACTTCCAATGCATAGTATTTGAGCAATTCCACTTTTAGCATTTTTTTTGAAAATTTTTTAATTTTTTCAACTTATTTTTTTTCAAATAAAAAAACTAAGTCGCGGCCATCAATGGCTGGCACTTTTTTACGTTTAAGATGATAAAAGTTACCTCTGATTAAAATTTCATTAACTTCCAATGCATAGTATTCGAGCAATTCCACTTTTAGCATTATTTTTGAAAAATTTTTTAATTTTTTACAACTCATTATTTTTAAATAAAAAAACTAAGTCGCGGCCATCAATGGCTGGCACTTTTTTACGTTCAAGATGATTCAAGTTACCTCTGATTAAAATTTCATTAACTTCCAATGCATAGTATTCGAGCAATTCCACAATTCCACTTTTAGTATTATTTTTGAATTTTTTTTAATTTTTCCCAACTTATTATTTTTCAAATAAAAAAACAAAGTCGCGGCCATCAATGGCTGGCACTTTTTTATGTTTAAGATGATTAAGGTTACCTCTGATTAAAATTTCATTAACTTCCAATGCATAGTATTCGAGCAATTCCACTTTTAGCAATATTTTTGAAAATTTTTTAATTTTTTTTAACTTATTATTTTTCAAATAAAAAAACTAAGTCGCGGCCATCAATGGATGGCCCTTTTTTATGTTCAGGGTGATGAAGGTTAACTTTGATTAAAATTACATTTACTCCCAATCCTTTGTTTTTGTGCAACGCCACCCTGAGTAAAATTTATTGCCTTTTTACCATTTTTTCAAACTTTTAATTATTTTTTTCTTAAAAAACTGTGATGCGGCCATCGATGGCGGGCAGATTTTTACATTCAGGCATTCAGGATGATAAGGGCTAACTTTTATTAAAATTACATTAACAGCATTAACTTCCAATGCATAGTTTTTGTGCAATGCCGCCCCGAGTAAAATTTATTGCCTTTTTTCCAAATTTTCAAACTTTCAATTATTTTTTCGTTAAAAACTATGATGCGGCCATCGATGGCTGGCAGTTTTTCTTGTTCAGGGGGATGAAGGTTAACTTTGATTAAAATTTCTCTAAGTTCCAATGCATGGTTTTAGCGCATTTGTTTTTAAGTTTTATTGTTTTAAGTTTCAATATTTTTAATTTCGTGTAAATAAAGTTGCAGCCATCGATGGTTGCCTATTTTACATATTTAAAATTTCCATTAATTTTTATTGATATTTTTTCAAAATTCGCAAAACAAAAATTTGCAATTGTTTATTAGGCTTAGGGATTTTGCATTATTTTTAGTTTTACCCATGCGTCCCTCGGCTTGATTAATTTTCGTTGGTATTTTCTTTTAAATATAATTTTCGTTGTATTTACTTTTAAATATAATTTTTTTAAGACCATTGGAACTGTTTTTCAAATTAGCTTCTGAAATTCCTTCCTCCGTGCACTTTTAGAACACTGCGATTTATTGCTGCGACTTGGTGTATGAGAAGAATATTAGAAGGTCAACTGTAAAAAGTTGCGATAAATACTCACCTCCCCTATGCTCCCCACTTTAAAAAATCGGGAATCGATATTCGATACATCCGCCCAAATGACGCGAGTGGCCAATTTCCAGCCAACTGGCTAACTTCCGGCGACTGGCTAGGATTTCTGGCTAACTTCACGATGCTATGCGCTTGCCCTCCAACAAATCTGACCACGCTTTATTAACACATATAGCGGCACTTGCATTCTAAATTCTCATTTTTTGTCAGACATTTCCTGTTTATTGTTCCTTTTTTGTCATACATATTATGTTTCAAATATAAGGACTTCTTATTGACATAGTCAAATCAAGTCCTTACAACAGATTTTTGCGATTGTTGAAAGACAATAATTGGAAATTTTAATCACCATTGTTGTAAAGACTTGATTTGACTATGTCAATAAAGGAGTCCTTAAACAATTGCGCAGAAAAGGATTTAAAAAGCAATACAAAAATTCGATTGTTGCTGTCGATTTGAAAATTTGTCTATTTAACCGTTTTCCTGTGCATATACCAGTTACCTCAAGTTTTTTTTTGGACACCGAAAATTCTTGCACTGCTTGCCCAATTCCTTTTCTGCATCTTCTCCATCCGGCGAAACAAGCATCAAGGACAATAAGATGATGACGGAGCCGGCTAGCAGCATCGGTGTGGTCTTGCGAATGCCAAGACAGTACTCCAGCCTCCTGAGTCCATTTTCTCTCCAAAATCCCAGCAAGTGCAAGGACGAATTCAAACAGCTGCCCATGTCTGTCGCTCTCCTGCTGGTGGTTGAAAACACGGAAAACCCAGAAGAAAATGTGGACTTTGCGGCGGGTATGAGAATTCTCATCCTTTTATATGAAACATAAAATATGTTAAAACCTGTACCTCTTTATAGGCATGGAGTTTTTGATCGACCAGCTGCTCGGAATTGTTGAAATAAGAGGAGTAGTTGGCGTTCGCTACATCGACTATCCAGACCACAAGGGGACGGTCAAAATTGAGTACTTGGAGGAGGCCTTGCAGATGTTTATCTGCAAGGGACATGGTCCTAACTTGCCCCTAACGATTAAGTTCCTTGTACTGGCCAAGAATGGCAAACGACCGGCTCCCTTCGATCGTAATATATAAGACTTAATAATTTTTTCTGATATTTTTTAAATATATATAATTCATTTATAGGCAACCGTGAACTTCAGCCGAGCCTTGAACGGCTTTTTGAGCTTAATAATGGGAAAAATCCAAAAATACACAATTGTAAGAATTTTTCAAAATTTTATAATTTTTTTGGAAAACTTCTTATATTTTTAGGCAGCAGATAATAGCTTGACCCCAAGCTTCAGGAGCTTCTGCAACAGGGACTTCCTACTTGCAGTTGGGATTTGAAAAATAAGGCATTGGACACAAAGCTCAACGAACATGGACACACAGAGGAGCTAGGCTGAAATTGTAACAATTAAACACAAATTAAATTTTTTTTAAATTTATCTTTTACAAGAGTGTTATAATATTGGGACTTTTCTCCTGTAAAGTAGCCAAATCATTTATTTTCTTCAAACATCAGATCACACCGACTTACGTTAGTGAATAATATCACTTGTCCTGAAATCAACCTTTCATATTTATTATATTCTCAGCTCAAAATGTTTGGAGCTAATCAACTGCATTTCATAATCCATTATCACCTTAAACTAAAAATTTAAGTGAAAATTATTATTGAGAAATTTTACAAAAGAGCGCAATACTTTAATTAAGGACTTCATAAACTTCTCATCTTATACTATATTGTGGAGGTTTGAAAAAATGCCGACCCCGCGTTTGGCAGTTTTCTTGGTTAATCCTTCACTTCCGATGGGTTTCTCCTCGATTTGTACTCCGACCTTATGACTCTGAAGGAAATTTAAACATTATTAAATAAACTTCACTCAGTGTAAAAAAATTCTCTGCAAGGCGTAAAACTTACCGTCTACTGATGCATTCCTCTTTCTAAATAATCATACGTAGTGATATAAAAAAGCAAAAAATAAATTAATCAATTAATTTTCCAAAAATTTAATTAGCAATAAAAATTTTTACAATTAATTTGGTCCCATTATAAATGTGAACACAAATTAGAAAAAATTAAATGTTTCTAGCGGTTTCTAGTGCATGAATTATAAAAAAAATAAAATGGTTTGATTATAATTTTAATTTTTAATCTTGCAAAACAGCAAAATTATTTGGAAAAATCTAGGAGAACATTTTAGTGTCATAATATTATTGTTTTGAACGCTTGTTTATGCATTTGAAATCGTGCTTTTATCATTAACTTTTAATGAATGAATCACTCAAAATTCATTCCGGAAGGATTTCTGGTGCAATTTCAAGAGCCGAATGAAGCACGTCACAATTTTTATTATCTCTGATATCAGTTGCGCGGCTCATCCGAAACAAGAAGAAGTTATCTTATCACGAGACTATGACCTGCAAACACCTCCCGAAGAGATTTCGTTCAGAAGAGCAAGACAGAGCGGACGAGCAGCATAGTATTTTCATAGTGATCATAAAACTGCAGCGCGTGATGACACTGATCACTTTAAATATAGTTTTGAACATATAATAATGCTTACGATTCTAATTACGAAGATGAAACACGCAAGAGTGCAGATGGGACGTTTCATCCTCTTCAGTCAATTTTTTCTAATTATTTTATCACCATTGTGTGCAGGTACGTTTCAAAATTCCTATACAGAGCGATTCATTTCATATTGTTGAAATGATTATTTCAATTTACAACTGCGACGTAAATACTTCATATCAAAAGAGCTTTTTATAGATTGAAATAGTTATTATTTGAAATTAATTTTAAATACATAAATTTATTTAATTAAATAATTTGCTTTTTCAGCAAGAATGAATTGAAATTTTTCGTTGGTAAACAATATTCTTTAAAACAAATAGAAATTTTTATTTTTTTATTACATAATTATATTTTTCATTATTTTACTATTTATTTTCTCAGCTTTTGAAGGTGTGGCACCGAATATAGGTTTAAACATCCCGAACAACCTGTTAGTATGTTACGAAAACAAGACCCTTTACAACCGGGCGTCGCGACTTCCGTCCACCATGAGCTCTTTGATCGCGATGATCGCTAAAATCGAGCGAGCCGGCGGACTAAATATGGACATGCGATCCCTCACGGCGGCGCTTCTCTATCAGTATGAGCGAGACAAATGTTTTTAACTAACGACCCGCGTAATTCCGTTCTAATTTTTCACAGATATCGCGTCGACGGAATCCAGCGAGCGCCCGAAATCCCCTGGACGCCCGGCGTCATTCCCTTCAAAGCGAGTGGACGACAGTACCCGAAATTCAAGGTACTCAAGGAAAACCTCATTTCACCTGGAAACTACCTGCCGGATGAGGGTCTATACGATTTTGAAAAGGTACTAATTAATTAAAATAATATTAAAAGGTGTAAAAATAACAAAAATACAAATAATTAGTCATGGTAAAAACAATAAACGAAGGAAATTTTTAAGGCTAAATTTTAAAATGAAATATTAGTAATTTTATTAAATTTTGAAACTTTATTGTACTAAAAGCCGTTTTTCTCTTGAAAAAATTGATGCCTGCAAAAAAAATTGTTGTCAAAGAGGATCTTTTGAATAGAATATCAGTTTTAATAAAACCCTAAGCAGAGATAGTGTAATTTAAATAATAATTTCCATTTTGAACAGTAGCAAGAATAAAATTGAATTATGTGGGGGAAAAAGAAAAAGTCCATTAAATATGTCTCAAAATAGGCCAGATATTTATGAGAAAGTTTCTTCCTCAGTGAAGAAGTTATAAAAAGTCTTGGTTTTTATCAAGAATCGCAGAATTACACAATTTAATTTTTTTTATCAAGAAATAAAAGATTTTTAAATTCTAGCCACGTTTAGTTAGATTAAAAGTCATATTTTATATAATCAACAAATAATAATTAATAAATTAATAATCAAATGTTTTTATTACAGAACATTACTCATTATCTCAAAATTATATTTTTATTAAATTAAAAACTTTCCAGGAATTTAGAATCAGAATTTTATTTTTTCTTTTTATATTTTTTTTCTTAATTAATTGCATTTTTTTTTAGTGCACGTTGCACTTCATGTTGTCCAGTTCAGTAAGCCCTTGGGAGCGGGGCGACGAATTTGAGATTTGCCCGGAACAAATTGGCGGCCGAAACATTGGAGTGAACGCGGACGTGAAGCAGAACGCGCGGCCCCGCAACAGGAACAGGTCTTGGAGCGAATGGCGCGACGACGAGGACGAAGAAAAGGACGCGTCGCCTTTGAGTGCCACCGTGAGTCGGTGTCCCATCGAGAACGGGGTCGTGTGGACCCCCTGGGGCAACGTCAACGCCGGCACCGTGCTCGCCTCAATAGCCGCCGCCCTGCAGCGGCAAAGGGTGCCGCTTTCCATGCTCATGGACCACGTGGCCTCAGGCGAGGAACATTCGGAGGCGCTCGACAACAAATGGGCTGCGTCTCTCGCAGGTTTGGACTTTTTCTCTCTTATTAAAAAAAGTCAAAATTTTAAGCAACAAATAAGACGGTAATTTTTCTGAAATTAAACTAAGAAAAATTAAACAAAAAAGAGTTTTTTTTTTAGAAGAATTTCACGCTCAAGGCGTGTTTCATGTTTAAATTTAAATTAATGTTTTCCATGAATAAGGTTTTTTGTTGTTAATTGTTTCATAGAAAAAATATCCTGGTGTACATTATAATTATTAATATTAATTTAAAAAAACCTGAAAATCAATTGTTGTACTAATTTTTTGTTGAAATAATCACAGCTCATGAATTATGGTTGCAGGACGCAGCCGAGACATTAAAGAGCAGGATATTGTTTTTAAATTAACGATGAATGACTCAGGAAATTATAATTTTAAATTCTAGCACCACAAAATAATTATGGATTGTAAAATTTTTTCATTAGCCAGATGTTAAAATATAATATTTATAATAATATGCACATCGAGTGTTGAAATTCACACTTTTACTGAGCCCTTGCAGGAAATTTTGCCATTTTAAGGGGGTGTTCGTTTAAAGTTCAACCAAAAACATTGAATATTCATATATTGGACCTTAAATTTCAGATTTTAATCTATCAAGTGTTTGTAATTCCGGTTATGAAGTTCTTCTGTATTCAAAAATAAAAATTTACTATGGAGAGCGAGAGGACATTTAATAATTTCCATTTTAAATAATAACTGATAACAATTAAATAAACAAATTATATATAGTTTGAATTTGAAATTATCATAAATCCATAAATTAGGGGACCTGGCTGAAGTGGCAGTTTATCAAGGTCCGAGAGCCTTAACGTTTGACAAAATGAGAATGGGTCCTGGAGGAAAGTGGAACGATTCTGCCATCCCAAGGGCTCTTTACATGGACCCATGGATGGGCGTTCAAAACGGATGGGAACGGGAGAGCTGGGATTTGACAGAATCTGAACTGCTCGGAGGAATTGATGGTTTGTTTTATTCAAATTTAAAAAAGAAAATTACACATTTTTTTTCCTGCAAAAACTCTTGAGCTTCTCAATATAATTGATAGAAATATTTAAAATATAAATTCAAATTTAACAGCATTGTCATTATTTTATTAATTTTAACTAATTAATGAAAATTAACAATATGATTTCCAATGATTTGAATTTAAACTTTCTTAGGGATAATTCTTGGTGAAAATTTACCGCGGTGGTTGGAGGTGCAGAGCAAGTTGCGGCTGTCGCAGGTGCTGGAAATGTACTACTCGGAGCGAGGCGTTTGTTTCGACGCGGAGATCAAAGCGTGCCGACGGCAGGAACTTTACAAGCAATACATTTCCTTTGACAAACTCAACGAACAGGTTAGAAAACAATTAACTCTAATTTTGAAAATATGTCAAAATAATTTTCATAAGACCGAGAGTTTTGTGTCCGTGTTGTACAACCACATCAACGTCGTCCCCATGGACCAGAGTACTTTGAAGAAATTCGCGAACGACGCCGTCAAAGCGGGCGTTCGCTTTACTGAAAACGTCATGATCAAAGACTCGGAGTACTTTTCATGTCCCGAAGTGCCACTTCCAATTCCTCGGGTGGAAGCTGTGCTAGTTTTGGACGGAACGTGGACCAAGTGGGAGGCGCAAAGGGTCATTGGGTTCGTTGAATTTACAATTAAGATTGTTTGTAATCATTAAGAAATTATTTTAAAATCTTAGAGTTGTGGACAGACACATCGACGTTTCCGAGTTTGGCAGTGCGATCGCTGTTATGAACGGGTACACGGGAGAAATGATGGTGAATTTCACCAGGCTCTCCACATATTCAGTCTTGAGAGCGCAAAATGCAACAAATTGTGAGTGAAAGAATCTGTAACAAATATTGAACTTTTAAATTAAATTATCTATTAAACTGGTAAAAATTATCCCTCAAAATTTTTTTCACAGGCTACATTTTGTGATTTTTTTTTAAACTTTGATATTTATTATTTAAAATAAACTATATTATTTTATTATTTTTTTATTATTTCAGGGCCTAATGGTCTTGATTTGGAAAAGACTATTCGCGAGTTGAAGAGGACGCTCTTGTACCGACGAGCAGTACAGGCCAGGGTCGGACAAAACGTGGCCGCCGCGAGTCGCGGAACGGCCGTTGTCGTTTTGGCGCCGACGGCCACCATGAGTCAAGCAGTTATGGATAACGCCAGAGAGGAACACAGAATTTTCAAAGCCATTTTGCCAGGTGAATTTAAAACTTATAAATATGATACTTTATTCTTCTTAAAATTGTAAATTGGATAAAATACCTAAGCGCGTAAGCGATAATATTTAAAAAATTGAAATAAAAATGTTAGAATAATTACTTTTTGCCAATAGCAGGTAAAAAAAATGCAAGATGAAGTTAATTAACACGTTTTTAATTTTAAATTTTCACTAAAGGAGTGAAAATGGAGTTCAAGATAATTTAATTTCTTCTTTTTTGTGTGCAGACGTCAAGTTTTTCTTTGTGACGTCGCGGAATAAAGAGGACTTTTCAACATTTGTGGACGACCCAATGAATGACGTGATCCAAGTTTCAAACCCAGACATGGAAAACTACATGCCAAAATTAATTGAAAGATTGCGAGCAGGTACATATAAACTTTTAATGACTTTGTTAATTTTTCAACGGGAAAGAATATTTCTTTTGTATTATATTAATTTTTTTTAAATAATTTTCTCTTTTTAATAAGATTAGTTCTTATAATTTAAAATTAAGATTAATAATTTGTTGGAAATGGCAAGTAACAAATGTTATTTCCGTTTAATTTATTTTCGATCTGTAAAGATTGCGTCATAAGTAAATAATTATAATTTTTAAATTTTATATGTGCGGTTTTATATTACTATTTTATGTAATAATCCTATTCCGCAATGCAAAAAAATCAGTTTCTTAATTTAGCCAGTAAAAATGAGATTAAATAATTTCAGTTCCGGGACGTATTTTGCCTCCTATGTGTCCATCGTTAGTTAAGGATGCATTTCTCGGCCAAGCTTTGAAGGAATGGATGCCGGTTGAGCCAAAAGGACCAGGATTTGAAGATTATGTTTCTGTCGACGACCCTCGCATCTACTGCATCCCAAGGGAGCAACTTGTGGGGACAAACAAAATTAGCGTAACAGTAAGAAGAATAGTACAATAACATAATTTATTTTTAAGATTAATGACCCCTTATTATTAGTAAAGGTGGATCTAGAAATATTCTTATATGAATAATAATTTAATAATAGCATAATTATAATTGGTTAATTTGTTTGTCCGGTGTGTCCGTAATACGCCAAAGTTTTATGAAGTTTTATGCTATTCAAAATTTTGGTTTCCTTTTTTTCGGTAGAGAAAAGTGTAAAAAATCCTTGCAATATTAAACAAAGTTTAAAAAATTGTAGAGAAAACCTGAATGATGCATCCTATATTTTTCCAAGTAATCATTTTATGCACCCATTTAAAACAAATTAATATATATTTTTTTTTTTAAAATCAGAACATAATAAGACACTTTCAAGAAAACAAAAATTGTTGCAGTTTAAAAATTCCAACTACGGTGACCTGGTGGTTTGCATTTCTCGGACGCAGCCGTTGGTTGAAAGGGACATGCCTCCTATGACAGCCTTGGACAGTGGCCCCGAGGCCGAGGGCAGGAGTTTGGGCGACGAAGTGCAAGACCGGTGTCAGCCGCTCCCTGCCAACAAGGAATTCACCTTCCGCATTTCGCAGCCGTGCTTTGACTGGAGCTTGGAGGCGTGCAAGCCAATTTACTTTTTACTCAGAGTCCAAGCCACAGACACAAGTTGTTTGGGTGAGATTATTATTTATTATTTTAATTTAAACTCCCAACATTTTCATAATTATTATAAACGCGAAGAATGAGTGGATTAAAAAAAACTTATAATTTTGTTAATTAAATTATAATTAAATATTCAAAATTACTTGCATAGCTATGCAACTAATTAATATTTCGGCTTTCAATTTTGTTTCATTATTTTTTTTTTGTTGATCAGAAAAAGACTGTCGATTCCCAAACCAAGTGAGATTCTCTATGCATCACTTTGGACTGAGGCCTTTGCCAGGGTGCCCTTGGATCGGAAACTCTGCGTTCTCCATCACACCAACAAAATTTTGCATAACATTTATTTTAATTCTCCTACTTCTTCTTTCGTAGATAATAGAGTATATTTTGTTAAATAAAAGATGAAATATGCCCACTGAATAAAATGAAATTTTGTCTTACAGATTAAAATTAAATTTCCTTATTTATCAAAATGATAAAAAAATCTAATTTATTCGCAAATTATGATCGTAAATGTATCTTTATTAATGGACCTCGATTTGTTGAAAGAAAAAGTTTAGTAACAGTTGCTTTTAATTGATTAACAGTTGTTAAATCAAATTAGCGCCTTTTAGATCTGTCAAATATGCAATTTGCGCCGCGGACACGTTGCGCGTGTTGCCCACTATTAAAAAAATCCATATTTTATTTGTTAATTAAAATTATGTATTTTAGCAAAGAAAAAAAAATGGAAAATCCATAAATTAGGGGAACTGGCTGAAGATAGGCCCATATGCCCACATGTTCGAAAAAATTAGAATGGGTCATGTAGGAAAGTGGAAAACCTACAATCCCAAGGACTCTTTTAATAGACCCGGCCGTGAAAACGGTTGGAAACGGGTGAGCTAGGCTAGGATTTGACATAATCTGAACTGCTCGGAGAGGCATTTCGAATTATGGAAAACTCTTGAGTGAGACGTTAGGCCATTTAAATTATAAAAAAAATTAAATTATTATTATTTTATTATTTTGATCGAAATCAAACGTCGCCCAGGTCGCGTTCAACCAAAATTGCAGTCGAAAGTTTCACCTTTTTCAAATGTTGGGCTCTTATTGGTTGATTCGCTGTGACGTCACGGCACAGAAATTGCAACAACGCAGTTGACCATAACCAACAATCAGTTATAAAATTTTCAAATTCAAACTGCTAACCGACGATCCCAACCGGAATTCCGCGCTTGCCTTTCCTCAGCTTGCTTCTGAAACATATTTTCGCGAATTCAACCGACATGATCACCGACTCGGCTGCAGTTGTTGTCATCCCGCAGGTGTGCCTTGCTGCTGCCGGAGGCATCCAGAACTTCCATGAGCCTTCAAAGTACGACGAGGAGATAAGCCAGCTGCCCTTGGCAGTCGGCCTGACTATTCTCGTCGTTAACACGAAGGAACCGTCCATCAATGTTGATTACCACGCAGGTAAGCCTTCAAACATTTATAAATTTATATGAAACGAAATTTTTTTTATGAATCCATGACATTAGGACACGACAAGACGACCCAAAGCGTGAAATCGCTTCTGAACAACAATCGCGGCGGGTCTGTCAAGATAATCAACATTGAGGACAACGAGGGCCTCATGAAGATTGACTATACCTGGATGACGCTCTTCAGCTTTTGATCCATCGGGGCTATGCTGCTCGATTGGACGCTCATATCAAGTACCTTGTCCTGGCCCTGAATGGAAGGAAGCCTCAGGTTAACGATCGTAAGAATTTTTCAAAATTTTAACTGCTTTTTTCAAAATTGGTTTAATTTTTAGGGAGCCGTGAGCTGGACCCCAAGCTGCAGGAGCTTTTGGAACAAGGCCTGCCGACATGCAGCTGGGATTTGAAGAATAGAACATTGAATGAGCGTCTCCGGCAGCAGGGTCTTGATTTGTTAGACCTGGGAATAGAACGAGGCATCCTGAAGCGGCGTTGGGAGGAGGTGCAAGAAAGTGAGAATCATATTTTGCTGAAAAGGTAAATTTTGGAAAAGGACAGGGCTGAGGACATGAGATCTGAAAGAAAAGGCAAAAGTTGGAGTGGCTTCTGAACTTTTTTATGTTTAACTTTTAAATATCTAACAATTAGTATTATAACAGAATGATTGTCTTAAAATTGCCAGATCTCTTTCTTTTTAATAGGCACAGAGGAGGCTAAAATTGTAACAATTACCAAGTATTTTGTTGTAAACATTATTAAAATATTTATTAGAAATTCAATTTGAGACAAGGCTTGTAATATTATGACATTATTGTCTGCTAAAATAACTACTACTACTACTTTATTTTCTGATCATTAGATCACACCAAGAAATTTATCAAATGTGGAATGACAATAGTAATTTTGGTTCTGAAATCAACCTCCGTATTTGAGCTCGGATAATCTCGAGCTGATCAACTTCTTCACTTCTTCTTGCAACTCGTAATACAGTTTAAGTACCTTACAAGTTAATTGGACAAAAAAATTTGATGTAAATTCTCAAAGAGAAATTTGACAAAATTGCTCACTAGTTTAAGGCCTTCGTAAATTTCACGCCTGCTATTGTGGAGGTAGGCCAAGCTTGAAGCACAGGCGACCAGGCGTTTGGCAGTTTTGTTTGTCAATTTTGCTTCACTTCCGACGAATTTCTCCTTGCCTTGCACTCCGATTTTATGACTCTGAAAGTAATTTACACATAACAAAAATAAAGTTCTACTATCCTTAGTTCTTCCACGAGCCGTCGAAGTATGTGGAGGAAATTAGCCAGCTTCCCTTCTGTGTCGCCCTCACGCTTGTCGTTCTGAACACGAAAGACCCCTCAAAGAACGTCGACTATCTTGCTGGTATTAAGCATTCGAACATTGCAAATATAAATGAAACCGAAAATTTATTTATTAAATCTATGACTTTAGGATACGACAGTCTGATCCAGACTGTTCGTTCGGTCCTGGCCGAAAATCGCCTCGGGTCAGTCAGAAACGTCGACATTGAGGACAATAGGGGAGCGGTGAAACTCGGTTTCCTCGACGAGGTCCTGCAGCTGCACGTCCAGCGCGGCTACGCAACTCGTTTGGACCTGCCAGTCAAATATCTGCTTTTGGCCCTCAATGGGAAAAATCCGAGGGTCAACGATCGTAAGAATTTTTCAAAATTTTAAACTGCTTTTTTTAAAAAATTGGTTTAATTTTTAGGCAGCCGTGAGCTGGACCCGAAGCTGCAGGCTCTTCTGGAACAGGGTCTGCCTCCGTGCAGCTGGGCAGAAAAGAATAGGCTCCTGGATGAGTGGCTGAAAGAACATGGAGTCATTGCCATAGACCTGGCAATTGAACGTCGCAACTTGAAGCGGCGTTGGGAGGAGGTGCAAGAAGCTGAGAACAAACTGTTGCTGGAAAGAAACGTTTTGAAGAAGACAGAGCCGAGCACGACATCTTGATCAAAAGGCAGCGACTGGACATCGAGAAATTGCAGAGAAGGCCTTCGTTTTTACCAACATTTTTGGCCTACGTCTCCGGTTGAGTCTTCTGAAACCGCCACTGCCGAGTCTGAGGATAGTTGCTGAGTGCTACACTGAACAGTGAGAGGCTACGGGTGCAGATATATTGCTTTGGAAGGTCAGCGCAAATAAAACCACAATCAAAAATTGAAAAGTTTAACATTTTTTATAGCCTTTACTAAATGGCAAATCAAATTATTTCTATTGATATTATAACAACAGATTGTCTTAAAATTGCCACATCCCTCTCTTCTTACAATTATTATAAGGCACACAGAAGGAGGCTAAAATTGTAACAATCAAACTCAAATTAAATATCCATTCAATTGATCTTTTACAAGAGTGTTGTAATATTAGGACTTTTATGAAAGAACCAAATCATTTATTTTTTTACGAACATGGAGATATTGGAGATCACAATTAACATAACCATTTACAAGTGGCATCTGACAGAGCCACTTGTTCACTCCCCACAGTAACAACTGCCTCAAGAACCTCCATCTTACTTACCGAAGGATGTCATGGCTGGTAGCAAGGTAAAATTGTGCTGTTGCTGTCCTGCAAGATCATTCGTCAATTGACCGGTCCATTTTTGATCTCAGCCCAACCACTCTTGAGTTTTACTGCTTCCTCCTTGTTTCTTTTGATGATTTAGCTGATGATAAATTTAATTTGCTTCTTCCCGCAATACAATAAAATTATGAATAAAGTCTTCAGAACTTTCCAATGTGAGATCAGAAACTGCAAATTTAAATAAAGTTTGTCATGTGATTAAAATACCCAGGACTCACATTCGGGAGAACTGGAACCGGCAAATTTTTAAAAACAAATGGGATCATTTTTACTGAATAAATAGTTCCAGCACTCATGAGCTTGGTGTTCATGGAGCAGGATGATTTGGCTTTTAAAACTTCCAGTTGTATTTCTCTCAAAAACTTTGGGGCATGTTCGCTAAGGAGGCTAAAAAAAATTAGTCATTAAGGAGGCTAAAAAAAATTAGTCATTTTACAGTTAAAATATTTATTAGAAATTAAACTTGAGAAGGCCTCGTAATATTATGACATTTTCTGCTAAGATAACTAAATCATACTTAATTATCTGATCATCAGATCACACCAAGTTATTTAAAAAATGTGGAATATCTCGGTTCTGCATTCAACCTCCGTACTTGAGCTCGGATAATTTCGAGCTGATCAACAGCTTCACTTCTTCTTGCAACTCGTAATCAAGTTTTAGTACCTAAGACAAAAATCGTAATGAAATCAAAGAGAAATGTAACAAAAGAGCTCACTAGTTTAAGGACTTCATAAACTCCACGCCTGCAATTTTGGAGGTAGGCTAAGCTTGAAGCACAGGCGACCAGGCGTTTGGCAGTTTTGTTTGTCAATTTTGCTTCACTTCCGACGGGTTTCTCCTTGCCTTGCACTCTGATTTTATGACTCTGAAAATAATTTACACATATAACAATAAAACCCACTCGGTGAAACAAAAATACCTCATCCAAAGTTTTGAAAAAGGATTTCAAGTAAAGCAACATGTTTCTCGTGGCCAACTCTGATTTCGAGGGTAATTCCACTGTCCACAAGAGCAGGTGTGTCCAAGGCGTCCGACACAGCCACTTGTCCACTCCCCACAATAGCAACTGCCTCAAGCAACTCCACCCCGATGACTCAATTTCAGAACCAGGGTGCTGAAAATTAATTATATTATTCTGTCTTGAAGGCCAATCAATTTACCAACGCTATGCTCAAGTGCACTAGTTTGTAAAATTCAGCAGCAAACTGGGCCAAAGCCTCGCTGGACTCCACTTTGATGGACACAAGGTGGTTCAATAAAGGGCTACTCAAAATGATAGCGTCTACCAGACAAATAACAGCCCGAATGAGCTCACAGCTTTGAGACTTGGCCTGGAGGGCTTGGAGCAAAACTTTCGAGTCAAGACTGATGCACTCCAGGACCTGATAATTTCAACATAGAGTGAAAATTTTAATTTGATTTGGTTTAACCAACCTTAGGAGAATTCATTTTTTTGAGGCAGCTTTCATGTGCGTTGATTAAGGCAGTCACAAACTCCAAAGCCGAAATGTGAGCACTTGATATTGGCTCGGAATTGATGAATTTCTCCAGAGAGGGAAGAAAAATTGTCACTTTAATGAACAATTTGAGTTCTGGATATTTTACATTAATAAGTAAAAATTAAAATAGATCTAGAGTGATAATACTTGTCTTTTGGCTGAGGTCTGCTTCATCAGAAGAGGCAAGGATGTGGTTGGCGATTGTGAAAGCAGAATCCAGTGTACTGACGGACCACTTCCGATCTCCCGGTTTTTGCAAAAGAAGTTGGGCGATGAATTCTGGCAAGACCGACCACGACTCCTCCAAAGGCATGACGCAGTTTTCTTGAGGAAAATTTGAGATGGCAAGACGCAACAGCAATGCATGGCCATAATTTCCTATAATTAAATTATAATTACACCTCAAAATATACATATCCCTGAATTTTTTTTTATCTCAAACCTTCATAATTTTGTGCGCTTTTCTTCATGAGGTAGCTCGGAAGTTTCATCCAGAGTAATTCCGTTAAAGGTAACTTCTCATCCTCACACTCGATGGCTTCATGTAATGCGGCCATGGCTCCTAATGCCGCTGTGATGTTATCACTGCCTACCATTACCTCCTTAAAGTAATTCATTTAATTAAAAAAATAAACTGGAAACTGGTCTGAAATACCATAAAAATGGTTGCATTCGCGTAACTGCAAAGAACATCTGAGTCGCGACGATCCATAGAAAGCCAGCGTTGAAGCTGCAAAATCGATAATGTTGATAATAATAATAAAATTCAACTCATATTTGAATTATCTACTGTTGAGATTAAAAACTCTTGAGGAATTTGTTGGTGCTGCAACTGCAGGACCCAAGAGACATAGACGGCGTGGTCGGTGTATAGACTTTCAGGGTTAGCTGCCCAGCGAGAGACCAGTCGAACCACACAATCAGGTAATTTGCCTGCATGGCCCTTTGAAGCCACAGCCAAGACGAAAACTGCAGCTTTGGCCATGTGGTTTGAAATGAACCGGTAGTTGCAGTAGTTGAGGAATTTGGCCACGTTTGGAATTTCATCAGCCAGAGCTGGGCTGAAAAATGTAAAAATTAAGTAAAGAATCCAAATTTATAAGATAATAAAAGTTTTTTCTGTCATACTTATCTGACGATGAGTGGAGGGCCCAGCAGTAAAGAATGCATAGTTGCATGTTTGCAGAATCAAAGTCGTAAGAAGATGCAAAGCCCTGCACCAGGTGCTCATTCAGCATTTCCAAATCTAGGCTGACGCCCAAATGAGTTTCGCAGAGCAATTGCAAAACCATCGAAAGTGGCTCACAAGCAATTGATAAACTAAAATAAAACTATCAGAACATAAAAAAAATTATGATAAAATATGAGACTGTGCTTTGTTGCTTAGAAAATAATCTAAGAATCCAACATTGGCGATTTGCGTGGCAAACTCAAATTTTCCGGACCACTTCCTCGGAGAGAGCAAAGTTTTTACAGCTTTTGAGAGCCGTAAAATTTTCCGTCCACTGCTGCATTCCGCGTTCTATAATATCCGTAAAAATATTCCAAGTGAAATTAAAAAAAAAAAATTTAAATCTCACAAGAGCACAATTCGCAGCATGCTCTACAATCTGTTCAGTCATCCACTTTCCAAGTTCAACGTTTATTTTATCCTCATCATCGTCATTGAACCTGATTATATTTAAATTAAAATTGTATTAAAATTATTAGAACAAATACCAATAAATAAGGCTAATTGCCACTCTTTGAGTAAAACAATTGCACAAATCGCTGTCCTCTTTGGGACAGGCGTCTTTGACAATGGCCAGCTGGGCCAGATGCAGAACGTCCACGTTCCATTTGACGCCAGGAATCTGCCTTGCAGAAATCAAATCCAACGCCAAATGGGCAGCAGCGTGACTCACGGTTTCGTCTTCTGACAATAGCAGATGCCACGTTAGTTCGAAAATCTAAATTCAGTTTTTTTTTTAAATATATTGAAAAAAATGCTTGTTTTTTTTTAACCTCATTGGCGCAATCTTCGAGGATGTCACAATTGTGAATGGTGGCGTTTTGAACAAGTTGGCCCAGCAGTCGGACGCAGCAGAAACTGTTGTCAAAATCATCACAGGTTTTTTCAAGTTTCGCCATGATACTTTTCAGGAAGACTTTGGCCTTATTATCTTGGTAAATTTGGGCGTTTGTGCTCAACTCGGACAACATGCTCAAAGTTGCTCTGTAAAAATTAATAAAAAGAAAGTGAAGTTATTAAAAAAAATTGTATATTCCGATTTAATTTTTTTTTAATTAATCATAAGCAATTTATAAAGAAATGAAAACTAATTAAGAAGTTGATATAAAATTAAAGTATCGTTCGTCATAAATAATTGTCATACCTAACTACATTAGTGTCGTAGCTGAGAAGGGGGTCCATCATTGCGTCACACAGATCTCCATGCTGCAGGACCGAGTTGGCGTGTGACTCATTTTGACACACCAGACACTTGGTGAAATTCACTGCTGAAAACTTCATGTCGCATTGCATTGACCAGATTTAGAATTGCAAAGAAAATAAAACGAATCCTTATTTAAACCTCTCACCTGCAAAACGGCATCTCGAGACATCAAGCAGTGACTCAGTTTATGGTGAAGCCAAGATATATGAGGGCTTAGAATTTCGTCTTTTTCTAGCTTATCGTCTGTTTGTAATAGGATTAGCCTCAAAATGTCTGAAATTATTATTTTATTCAATAAGAAAAAGACCAAAACAAGTATTTATATTTAGTTGGATTGGTGAAAATTAATAATAATAATATTAAATGCATTATTATTTAGATAAAAATTTTGATTTTAATAAACTATTTCTATTGCTCATTTAAACCCTGTATTGAGAATTTCTATTTTTTATGTGAAGAAATGATAAAAAAATAAAGCATTTTTAATATAATTTTGTAGTTCATTTTTGAATTAAAAAAAAAAACTTGAATAATATTTTAAATAAAAATAATTTTAAATTAAATTTTCAGTCCATTTAACATTTTTCTAGAAGTTTATGATTATTTTTATAAATTTATTAGATTTTTTGTAAATTTTAGGTAAATAAAAAAATTTACCAAGTACAGCAGTGGCGCCGTCGGTGCTGGCAACGATCCGCAATTCTTCGAGAAGCGTTTCCATCAGTTGGTGGAGCGGCTGCTGCATCGCGACCGTTTGCAGCAAATCCAATCTGAGATCTTCTTCAATCCGCGGACAAATCATCAATTTCACCACACGCTCTGCGGAAAACAAGTTTTTATTTTACAGTTTCAATTTTCGGTGAAAAGCGTCGGCAGCTGCCTGTCAATAAAAAGCACTTTCCGACACCGGCGCATATTTTATATTCGCGGTCATAATTCGTGGCAAGCAAACGTGCCAAAGTCTAATTTCGAGAGTGGCGCTCGCGACAACCGCGAGCAGGATTTATTTTTTAACACGCCGAGGGCGCGACAAAAACGAAAGAAAATACCTGGCACGGCCGACAGCAGGCGCTCCACGCGTCCCGCCGCAACCACGCTCTGGGACACAACGATTCTGGCCAACGACACGCGCGGACATCGCGGAGGATCATCTTCCTAAAAATTGAGGGGAAAAATACAAAATGAAAAAGTTTGCAATAGAAAAAAATTCACGTCTTCAGATTTTAATAATTGAAAAAATTTGACAAGTAAACAACAAAATTAACAATTATAATGATTTCTGAAGAGTAAGTAAAAAAAGTAAGACATTACTTGTGAAAAATTACTATATTGAATTATACAATTTTAAGCTTCTAGCGAAAACCGAATCAACCTTTTCTAGTTTTATTAAGTAATTTAATTTAAATTGCAGGTTATTTGAATCAGTGCGTTGAATTTGATGATATGTGTTTTACAAGTCTTTTCTAAAAATGCGCTTATAGTTAATTAAAAATTGATAATTTTTTAAATTTACAATAAGTTTAGTTTTTACCATTACTAAATCTCACACATACAACTGATCAGAAAGACACTGATTTTCAATTAATTAACATTGACCCTCAATGAGTTTTAATAATTTAAACCACTTAAAAATCAAACCAAACAAATCCAAAAATTAGCTAAAACCCTTTTCAAATTACACTTTCAGTGGTTTCTTGATCAATTAAATTTATTTTTGGCATTATATTCCAAAAATTTCTATTTTAAAAATATTAAATTTTATATTTTATATTTTCGACTTCAGTGAGAACTTCAAAGTTCTTTGCAATAATGTGGATAGACATTATTATGCAAATTATTATGATATGCAATCCCTGAAATCTATATTTTTGTGTTTTTTAATAATAAGATTTTATTCCACTCAAAGAATATATTTTTTTTGCTCATGGCACCCGTTAGCTTATTATCAAGGAAAAGAATATTGATTTTGATTTTTCAGTAATTTTAAGCACTAAAAATTGAGAAATTAGAATTCCTGAAATAAAAAAATCATGGTGATTTGAATTTAAACACGACTTTTCACCGATGAGTTCTGTGAGTTGCTTCTTGCTAAAGAAAAACAAAATCCTGCTCTTAAAAAAAACCTCATCGATGAAAAGTCGTCTTTTAACTCAAATCCCCTTGAATCAACCCTCAATCGTGAACTTCTACAATAAAAAAATCACTTTTATTTAGATTTGATTCTTGAGTGAAAAAAATATGAAAATATAGCTTCACGTTTAATTACTTATTGATAGTTTAAGCCGTTTTAGTGGCAAATGCTGGTCACAAAAATACTGTCATTGGTATAGATTATTGTAAAATGTAGTAAAAATTAAAAACTTACGTAACAAAATCGAGGGATGTATTCCCTCGGGAAACAAATAAACTGCTTAAAATTTCGTGAAATGTGATCGGAAGTAGGAAAATTTTCATTTCTTAAAAAGGCGTCGATTGAGCAATTCGAACTCTAAATTTGTGTGGCGCGGTCAAACCGTCTGACTGCGAGTTAAAAGTGAAATTGGCGAGTTTGACACAATGGACGGCCGACCGAGAGAAGCCAGTGTTCGATTTGCGTAACAGCTGAGCTAAATATTTGCGGTGTGATTCAGTGGCCAGAGCGGAGACCTAGGATGAGATCTTCATCAAATTCGGCCGTGGCGATGATGATTCTGATAATTGAATGTGATTTTACGACCGTGGCTCTAAAAATAGTGGACGCGAGAAAAAGATATTTTTGAGGCGCTTCAGTTTCTTTCACGCGCGCACAGTCTCTCTTTATAACTGCCGCGCTCGCGTGCAATTAATGATTTGCCAAGTCATAACTTACCGCGTGACGCAATTTCAACAACACCGTCCAAAAGAAAAAGCTTAAAAACTTACTGAAAGTAGGCAGACAAATTTGGCAATTTGGTATTTCAGCCTGATCTTTGATTGCGTACCTTGAGATTTAGCAGGCATGTTTGCTACTGACGATGCCATAGATAATTATAAAAAAAAATGAATTGAAATTTGAAGTAATTTTTTATTAATAGTGCGATTACGAAAGGACCCTGGAGCTCTATGTTATATAATAACATTTTTATAAATGTATCTATATATTTTACTTTCACTTTCACTATGGTTAATGTCTTAAATCAAAAATATTTAAAGATAAATAAATTATGTTAATTTGTATTTTAGCAACAATTATCTTTTTTTAATATTTTATTTAATCAATTTCGGTTTGAACAAATTAGGTGCCTATGAAAGTGATTCTTTTATGATGAATTAAGTAAAATAAAAAATTTGTGATTATTCTATTTTTACAAAATAAAATTTAGAGTTTTAGGCTGTTTTTTTTTTGCGAAAATTTTTGAAAGCATTTTTGGAGATTTTTATGAAATTTGCTTATCATAGCCGAAATTTTTGAAATCAAAATCAAGGATGAAAGTCTCTATATGGGTTAATTTAACTCAAATAGTTAAAAATAGGAGACTCTTCATCAAATACGAGATTTTACAGATTCTACTTAATTTCTTACTTAGAGAGGCTTTCAAATTACGATTTAATACTTTTTCAATAGATAGATTAAAAAGTAGTTTACCTTATATTTTCCCCATCCCTTATCTGATTAACAAACTTGTTCAGTTATTTAAAACCCTCATTATAAGCCAATTCATCTATATTTTAAGTTCTAAATGTTTAAGTTGTTTTGAAATTTAATTTAAAAAAAAGCAATAAAAAGATAAATTTAATATAGAAAATTAATTTTTCATTGCAAGTCTAATTTCAAAAATATGTTTTTTAGCAACTAGCAGATTTTCAACACAGTTTAAAAGAGTGCTTTTTTGAAAAGTTCATGTGTGAGAAGTTTTAAATATCAAAAAGTGTGTATGTTTTTGCGTTGGTCAAAAATGCAGCACGAGGACCACAATGCTCAAGAGCAAAGATTTCTTTCTCTCTCCGGGGCTCGCGACTTTAGCGTGTGTGTGCAGGGCTATTTTAGTGGCCGCCGCGACCGCCTTCCTTTTTGTTTCCACTCCACTTTTCGTAAGAAACAATAGCGACCGCCTGAGACACAAAATCCGACTCGCCGCTCCAACTCGTTCCCACCTTTTTCTAATTAGGTGGGTGGCTGTAAATCTTTCGTTACATAACAACAATTGAAAATAAAAATAGTGATCTTCTTAAAATTTACCAATAAAAAGGAGATTTTATAAAAAAAAGTGTAACCGAAGAATATGTATTTGAATGAATTAATTCTTGGAAATTTTAATTATATTATAAAACATTAATATCCACATTTATAATTTAATTATCCAAGTAGATAGTCAGAATCTCTAAAAATTGCTCGTATTATCATTTTTCTATTTAAATTAATATTTTAATTTGTTTTTATTATCCGTATTATTCACTTTCTAAAACGGAAATTAAATTATCCTTTGTTTAGTGAGACTTTCCGCACCTTTTTTTCTTGCAAATGATACCCACAGGCTTTTTTTCTCTAAAATATCGAATCTTATCTTCCGATAAATAAATATCTTTAAAAAAAATCCGGCGCCAGCAAACATAATCTACTCATAAGCAAGTGCCCTTGTCGATTTTCTTGGGTAATCTTTTCTGTTTGTCGAGCGACGAGATTTAAAACTATAACTCACCATGATTTTGAGGCACTTGGTGAGCAGCTCGGCGCACACGTCTCTCGAGTCCAGCGGACGCAGTTTGCTCAACACCACTTCTATCGCTGTGAAAAACATTAATTATTGCATCAACAATAGTCAGAGAAAATTTAGCACCACTTGCAATCCCTGCAATCTCTATATCAAAAACTACTAATTTTCTATAAACATACAAAAACTGAAATAAAATTATAAAAAAAGTATATATTTACCTGTAGCAGCAACTGGAATCAAACTGGCAGGGAACGTCAGCGACTTTGCCGAACCTGCAAAAAATAATTAACTGCTATGGGGGTGGAAGTTTGAAGCAGCCAAACTATAGCTGCGGTGGTGTTATTCAAAGTCAGTTATTTGTCCTAAAACTGATTTCTTAAAGCAAAAGTCCTAACAAAGTATCCCAAATGTTTTTTTTTATTTCTCTAAACCGTTTTCATTATAAAAATACTAAAACCGACAAAATTATGGCCGAAAAGTGGTGAAATTAGTCAATTAATTTGTCCTCCAGTCTACCAAAACGCTGGGAAAGTGGTAGAGATTGTTACGGAATCTTTTAAATTACTTTCATCAGAGTACAAATTACTCTTTGTTATCTTATGCCAAAACCTTTTCACACGCAAATGATTCAGTAGACTAAGAGGAGTAATCTCTAAAAATACAGCAAATGAAATAAAACTTTATAATTTTGCTTTTTTCTGCGTGAAACTTTCAATCAAGTCAATAATCTAATTTAATCGCAAACAGCTTGAAATATTGAACTTGATTTCTAATAGTTATTTTTGGATGACAGGAACAATCAAAGGTAGCGCCTTAAATCCATCGAGTATGCAATTTGCGCAGCCGACACGTCGCGCGTGTTGCTTACCATAAAAATTAAGCTCCGCCGTAAATTTTTCCGCGAGTTTAAAAAAATCTGGCACCGCTGCTGCCCTCGAGAGACATTTTTCATCAGACGAAAATTTTGATATTATTCCCGAGGCCAATTTAAAAATGAGTGAGTCAGCGTAACAAGTGTGAAAATGGGCGAAAAAAATAATATTTGCTCTGGGACGGCGGCGGCGGCCGAGGCGGCTTGCGGTAGGCGTCGGTTCAATCGGCCGCCCAGAATAGCAGACCGACTTACGCGAGACGCCGCCTCTCTCTTTTTCAAACCACCGATCCGTCCCAGCGTTCAAAGAGGAATTTTCCGAAGCGACTGACCGCGCGAGGATACTTTACGTAATTGCCGCGACGAGTGGGGCGCGAAACTGCGACCGGGCAGATGGATTAATTTTGCCGATTTATGTCTCCAGTGCGATTCCACAAAAAACACTTTGGCGCTCTTCGTCGTAATCGTTTGGATCGAAGACAGAATTTCAAGATCGTCCTAAATATATTCAATTTCTGGCTACAAACTTAGAACTTCTTGATTTAAAAGCATAAAAATATTTTATAAGTCTTAAAAAATCTTTCTGTTCCCACATTTTCTTTAATTTTAATAAAAATAATTGAAATATATAAATAAAATTACTTGTACCTGAAATTTCAATTTTTCCAAATTTTTCTTTATTATTGCATAATTATTTCAAAATAAATGAGACAATTGGTGGAGATTAAAAAACTTCTACAATATTCAAATTGTTCATCCTCTTAATTTAAACTTAAGAATTTAAAACCCAAAGAAAACACTCGAATTAGTAACTTTAGACTAATCGCATTTTATTCCACAAAAATGCAATTAGTCAAAAGTTACTAATCTAATTAAAAAATTTCCTTCATCAGTTTGTGATTTATATGTAAAAAATTGCAAGGAATAAAAAAAACTTACCGAGCAGTGCAGAGACGACTTTGGAAGCGCAGTCCACTCGTAATGTGTAAAGCTCCAACTTTTCCAGCAGCGGTTCCAACACAGCCTCAGGGTCGAGTTTCAGGGCATCGATGCTGCACTCGACGCAGAAATTGCGCCCGTATCGCCAGGGTGTGCAGTAATGCCTCTGTCCACAGCTCGCCATTTTCAATTAGAAATCTGAAACACAAAAGTAAAAGGTAAATCAATCATTTGCCAATGGTTTGCAAATAGGAATTTATTAAAAAATTATAGGAAAATACAATTTAAATGTTTTTATGGAAAAATGACGTGCCTCGTGTAAAAATGTTATATTTCAACCAACAAATTGAACTTTTATTTCTAGTTATTTATAGCTAGGCATTTCCAAATTCGAAAAATTTTGGAAGGATTTTAATTTTGTAGCGAGATTATATAATTATGCAGAACTGTTTTTCAAGAAATTTTTCTTTTAAAATATATTAAATTTTTTTCTTCTAAAAATAATTTTTGCTTAGAGTTTTTGATGAGATTTGAATCAGCACTGATTATTCTTGAATAGAAACTGCAGTTTAATAATTTCATTCTAAAGTAAGACAACGACAAAAATAATCTAAAAACGACCCAACTTAAATGGAAGTTTCAAAATAGTCCAGATATAAACAATTTAATGAGAAATTAATTGAAAAATCGTCTCAGACATTTAAAATCAGAATGAATACCAACTTTTTTTCAGAAATAGTTATAGAGAAAAAATAATTTGTTTGAAGAAGTTGACAATCGAGGAGATGATCATGGTTTTAATAAAAAAACAATGTTTATACAACAAGGAACAGCCCGACTTCTTCAATTAATAAATAATAATAATAAAATATGTTGACTTGACAAATTAATTTAATTTTAGTACAATGTTGCAGTGGTCATCGTACAAAACGATCTGCAAGCCAGAAAGGACGTAATTTGATTAATCCGGCGAGATAAAAAGGAGCCGCGCCATGAGCGTTAATGAGGTGTGACACAACAATACGCCCGTCCAATATTCGCCGGCCGCGGCTGCCAAGTCATAAATCAAAAAACGCAGCCGCGAATATTTTAAATGCTGACGCAAAGTGCGTTTGCTCAATTAAGACTGCATCTAGACTTAATGAATTTTGTCCAGCGCGCAGTTGGCCGACGACTTCATACGCGAGAGACAATCTGTTTTGCATAAATATATAAATTTTCTGTGCCTCTCTCGCGGCGGCCGACACACAGAATAATATTATATACCGAAATAGCCGCGTTGGAAGCAGCGACATTCCTCTCGGCGCGCAACACAACATCAAACACGCAGCCTTATGTTGGCCAATCCGCTCCGGACTCCGTTTACTTGTTCCTCGGCTTTTCGGCCCGTTTTTTCTCATCTTCGAGGGAGATTAATCGGCCGCGAGAAATATTGCCGCGGCGACAAACGCCGCATAATTAGCATCGCGCGCTGACTAATTCCTCGTCAAAGCTCTTCCAGGTGTTTGCTTAAGTTAATCTCTATTTATTTTATTGCTTAAGTTGAGTGACCGGGGTGAATTTATTAGATTGAACAAAAACATATTTATTAGTTTCAATTTGCGGCCGGCTATATCAATGAAATATAAAAAGGTCAAAGGAAAAAAGGTTATAAATGTTACTTTATTTTCATTTTATTTTTTTTTAACAAAGAAAAAGGTGGTTCAGGATACCTCTTATTTCCACGCGGTTAAGCCCTGTTAAAATTTTTATTGAAATTTACACTGTTTCGGAATTATTATGTGTTTGTGTGCACCAAATTTAGCGTCCTGGAACCAGTTTTAGTTCCATGGAACCAATTCTAGTTCCATGGAACCAGTTCTAGTTCCATGGAACCAGTTCTAGTTCCAAGGAACCAGTTCTAGTTCCAAGGAACCAGTTCTAGTTCCAAGGAACCAGTTCTAGTTCCATGGAACCAGTTCTAGTTCCATGGAACCAGTTCTAGTTCCATGGAACCAGTTCTAGTTCCAAGGAACCAGTTCTAGTTCCATGGAACCAGTTCTAGTTCCATGGAACCAGTTCTAGTTCCATGGAACCAGTTCTAGTTCGAAGGAACCAGTTCTAGTTCCAAGGAACCAGTTCTAGTTCCAAGGAACCAGTTCTAGTTCCATGGAACCAGTTCTAGTTCCATGGAACCAGTTCTAGTTCCATGGAACCAGTTCTAGTTCCAAGGAACCAGTTCTAGTTCCAAGGAACCAGTTCTAGTTCCAAGGAACCAGTTCTAGTTCCATGGAACCAGTTCTAGTTCCATGGAACCAGTTCTAGTTCCATGGAACCAGTTCTAGTTCCAAGGAACCAGTTCTAGTTCCATGGAACCAGTTCTAGTTCCATGGAACCAGTTCTAGTTCCATGGAACCAGTTCTAGTTCGAAGGAACCAGTTCTAGTTCCAAGGAACCAGTTCTAGTTCCAAGGAACCAGTTCTAGTTCCAAGGAACCAGTTCTAGTTCCATGGAACCAGTTCTAGTTCCATGGAACCAGTTCTAGTTCCATGGAACCAGTTCTAGTTCCATGGAACTAGTTTCTTCTGTTACAATTCTTGATCTTGTTTCAACAACGCACATTTAATCTGAAGTGAAATTTTAAATATAATTTGAACTTGACCAGCAGGAGAGTATAATTATAAGGAGAATAATTTATTTTGGGCTTGCGCTGTAAAAATTGTCCATAAAAATTATAATTGGCTGGCTTATTTTGAGCTGCTCGCGCAAAAAATAAGCGCTTGAGCAGAAAAGTAGAGCTGCGCGGGGCTAAATAAGTGACTCACTGCGGCAATGCGAAGCGATTTTCGCCCAAATTAGCCCTGTTTTGATGAGCAAACACCTTTTGCGCAGCAGTTTCAGCTGGACCAAGAGATGCGATGATGATGCAGGAGGACATTCATAATAATTCTGCTCCGTTTGCTGCTCGAGCTTGCACCGTCCGTTCCACCGCATTTGCCACGATTATTAATGGAATCTAAATTCTCAAGTCGGCAGTCGTTTAGTGCGGTAAAAATCGTGTTGGAATTGCCGCGGCTGCCGCGAGCAACAAATCGCCACATTTACTCGCTAATGAACTGGGAATATCCCAAGGTAAACGTTGAAACTTCACAAGACTTTGGTCCAGTGCGATTAATGATATTCAACACATTTTTTATTGTTTAATATATAAAAATTGGCTCTCAAGAAATAGCATTTAAATAATAAACCAGCTTGATTTTTTTGAGAAAACTAAAAAAAAAATTTATTAATAAAAAAAATCAATAATAAAAACAACAACTTTATAAGTGCAAAATTCTCATTCATGAACAATAGAAAATAATTAAGAATCAGAGATGAAATTTTTACGTATACAAATTTCTATTTTTTTTTATTACAATTATTTTTCAATCAGGACTGTACCCGTATTTTTCACGCCATAACTTTTTGTGTTTCTTTTAGAGAATGAAGGAAACACACAAATTTCTAAAACGATTTACTTGGCATTATTTGGTATATAAATTGAGGCTCTTCTTAATATTGAAACTATTTACTTTTTAATATTTAGAAAACTCGATATTTTTGTAGAAATATTTGTTTATTTACAAGTTAATAACAATTATTGACAATTAAAACAAGTAACATTTCTCTCATTTCGTCATGATATGTGAAAAGTTCTGGCAACGAAAGCCAAATCTATTAAAGTTTGTTTTTTTAAGTATAAAATAAACAACACATGGTTACTATTGAAAAACATTAGCTCACATTTCTCCAGGCTGAGATTCTTTTTTCAACAAATTTTGAATTCCATTAGAAAAAGCAAACACGGACATAAGGAAATTTTCGAAATTTTTATTTCTGAGGCAAATTATTTTTTCTAATGCAATTTTTGTAATTTTCAAGGCTATTTTATTCAATTTTTTATTCTAAAAATCTTGTTTTTGTGAAATTAACTTTTTGTTTTTGAAAGTATAAATGATAAATGCCACGGAAAATTGTATATATCAAAATAAATATCACTTGAAACTAATAAAAACATTTATTTTGGACATAAAAGGTAATTTCTTTCACTTTAATTGATTGATTGATTTATTTTAAAACCGATTGTTCTTCTAGAATGTTAATTTGGGATGGGATTGATTTCAACTTTTAATTTTCCTGGATACCTTTCAAGACAAAGACGAAAATAGATAAAGACAGTTGAGAATTCACGCACTGCAAAAGAAGCTGCGAGGTCATAAACGGTGCTTTACGCCCTCCTTCCGAGAACGAAGTGAGCGCACACTATAGAGATTCCTTTTCACATTATTATTCGCCGCCACACGCCAGGAGAAAGAAACGACTGGATTCTTTTTTATAACGCGCCGCCTAATAGTTATGGTGCGGGCCAAAACACTAATTAGCCTCGACAAAGGAGCAGCGCAAGAGAAAGAGAGAAAGAAAGAAAGGGAAAAAAGAACGCTTCTTAAATGAGCGGCTAGAAAAATTGGCCCTCATTTTCGACTTGAATCTCGGCGTGTCCAGAACACCTGCCCGTGCCAAATTAATCAAAAATTAAAAAATTAATTTCATAAAAATAAATATATAAATTTTATTCCAAAACAAAAGTGAAAATTATTAAATAAATTAACCGTTTTAACTGGTTTCTTTTTGTTTTCATATTTAATTGAGACGTGAGTTTCGGGTTGGGCAAAACGAGCGTGCCAAATGGTTTTTCAAAATAGCTAATTGACAGCTCGTGGGGGTGATTCGCCGTCCGAGAGTGCTCCATTTATCCGAAGCGTTTCTTTCTCTGTCTCTGTTCGTGCGCGAGAGTAAAAGAGAATGATTTTAGAAGTCAGTCAGCCCGAGTCACGTGACTTAACTAGGGCAGTGCAAACAAAAAATAGAACGCCCGCCGCCGCCGCCGCGACTCTTTGCCCCGAACACGCGTGATTCACCTCGAAGGCGCTTCTTTGTCCAGTCTGCGCCGCCAGAGAGAACTGGAAGGCGCCACATCTCGGCTCATTTCGCAAAACCATTCTCTGGTTTCTCGGTCGCTTTAAGGCATTTTTATTTGGGGGTCATTCATTGCATCAGATCAGTTACGTAATAATGATATTGGATTTCAGTTTAAATTTAAACCGAATTGATGAATAGACAAAATTATTTTATTCAGCAAAAACGGTTTTTGTATTTTTTTAATGAATCAGATTATTTAT